TCAAAGTACGGTCTTCAACACGGAGCCTTGGCTCACACCGAACAGTAAGCTATAAAGGGCCCCAAAAATTACTAGTGTAAAACCATTCAAACGGGAAAACCAACTGTCTAATCTATATAAAAAACGAGAAACGAGAAACACTTATGAACCACATCAACAAACGACAACTACTGAACATCAGATTCCTGACTTAGGACAGGTGCAAACAAATGCAGCGGGTTTAAACGTTTTAATGGTACCAAACCTTCACCCTTTTTCTGAAACAATAGCGTAACATCACAACATAGAAAGACACACTATAAAATATCAACTGAAATAGCTTAACTCAATCAAAGGACATATTAACACGAGTGAACATACACTGAACAAATAAATTTGACCTATGATACAATGCAAATACAAAATAAATAAACTAATGGAAGAATGATAAAAGTTACATGTAATATCGGTATGAAATGTTAAACAATTTAAGAAAAAACAATATGCTCGAACAAAAATATCAGCCATTTGCAATAACTTTAAACACAGGTAAATGAAAATAATTTTGTTGTTAGGTATACGTGTACAGTTCCAATAGAGAAAGGAAATAGTTTTACAAAATAAATAATTTTGATGTTCATAGTATGAAGTGAAAATTTATAATAGTACCAAACACTTATCAAAGCTGGTATATAGACCAGATATAACCCGGAATAACATTAAATAACAAAAAAAGCATTACAATTAGTATCAACAGGTCAAATAAACAAGAAAGTACGATTTGAGAGTACTCGTAGTTACTGACAGCTAGTTAAAAGCCAAAACAACTAATAATAAAAAATCATGCATCAGAGACTAAAATCAACTAAAACACATCTCAGGGATTTAGTATTTTAACGTCATGGACAGTCAAAGAAGACATGACTTGTGCAAGTATATTTACACCTTAATAATGACCCCTGATATGTTTCAGACCATAGGCAGAGGCAGATATTATGTTACTTGTTAAGAATGCGAAGTTGACAATGATAAAACTGAATTTGTCATAGATCTTAGTTTACAGTTCTCCATCAATATCAATTTCAAGAAAAAATATGGAGATATGAACTAGACCATGTTGTCTCTATTGTATCGTTAATTCTGATATCACTTTATGCTCATTTAACTTCCATTTTAGTGGTTTCCTTATTATTGTAAAAGAATCATTACATAATATTTTTCTTTTGAAGGACTTCCTTTATGCACCATCTCTGGTGATCTACTGGTAGCACCATTCTCTGGAGTATCTCTGGTGATCTACCGGTAGCAACATTATCTGGAGTATCTCTGGCGATCTACTGGTAGCATCATTCTCTGGAGTATCTCCGGTGATCTACTGGTAACATCATTCCCTAGAGTATCTCTGGCGATCTACTGGTAGCATCATTCTCTGGAGTATCTCTGGTGATCTACCGGTAGCATCATTCCCTGGAGTATCTCTGGTGATCTACTAGTAGCATCATTCTCTGGAGTATCTCTGATGATCTACTGGTAGCATCTTTCCCTGCAGTATCTCTGGTGATCTACTGGTAGCATCATTCTCTGGAGTATCTCAGGTGATCTACTGGTAGCATCATTTTCTGGAGTATCTCTGGTGATCTACTGGTAGCATAATTCTCTGGAGTATCTCTGGTGATCTACTGGTAGCACCATTCCCTGGAGTATCTCTGGTGATCCACTGGTAGCATCATTCCCTGGAGTATCTCCGGTGATCTACTGGTAACACCATTCCCTGGAGTATCTCTGGCGATCTACTGGTAGCATCATTCTCTGGAGTATCTCTGGTGATCTACTGGTAGCATAATTCTTTGGAGTATCTCTGGTGATCTACTGGTAGCACCATTCCCTGGAGTATCACTGGTGATCCACTGGTAGCATCATTCCCTGGAGTATCTCTGGTGATCTACTGGTAGCATCATTCCGTGGAGTATCTCTGGTGATCTACTGGTAGCATCATTCTCTGGAAAGTAGGGGGTCCTGTCTGTGAACCAAAGTCAAAGTTTAACAATGGTGAGTGTAGGGGGTCCTGTTTGTGAACCAAAGACGAAATTTAACAATCGGTTTGACTTTCTTTATGCACTATTTCTGGTGATCAACTGGTAGCATCATTCTATGGAGTGTAGGGGTCCTGTCTGTGAACCAAAGTCAAAGTTTAACAATGGTTTCTGCTTCTCTCCATCTTAGTTGGGGTTAGACAAAGACAGAAAAAGACTTTATCCACGATCAATGGTGGTAGTTGGTTGTGTATTTCAATCCTTAGCGTTATGTGAACTGTTGTTTTACTTTTTTTTCTTTTACCAATGAGGTATACTTTTTTCAGCCGTAAAAAAACAATTTCCTATAACCGTAAGGATGATTTTTATATAATTTTATTCCTTACAAAAATATTTTCATGCACTAGTCGATTCAAATAGAAGTATAACCCAAACTATTGCTTAAAGCAGGCTAATAAAGAACAACATAAATGCTGTAAAATAACAAACAAATCTATAGAGCTGTTCAACGGAACACAAATAAATTTAAAAATTCCTAAGGGGTTCCACGGAACCCTGTGTCTGTCCTGCAATTGCTGCTGTCAGTGTAAAAGTGTAATGTTGACTAAAAGAGTGAGTCCATTTATCAGTAAAACACCGAATTTAAAAACAAGAGTGCACACACTGAAATGTCTCTCCTGCTTTAATGACCATTGGTAGTCCTAAATATAAAGCTTTACTACAAGTATCACATAAACTTAACATGATCCAAGAAAATGAGGTCAAGGTCAGATAAACCAAACCCGAAACACATGTACACCTTACAATCATTCCATACACCAAATATAGTTGTCCTATTGTTTATAGTTTCTTAGAAACGAACTTAACCTTGAAAACTTAACATTGACCAATGAACCATGAAATTGAGGTCAAGGTCAGATGAACCTTGCCAGACAGACATGTGCACCTTACAATCATTCCATGCATCAAATATAGTTGACCCATTGCTTATAGTATCTAAGAAACAAAATTAACCACGAAAATTGAACATTGACCAATGAACCATGTAATGAGGTGGAAGTCAGATGATACCTGCCAGACAGACATATACACCTGAAAATCATTCCATACACCAAATATAGCTGACCCATTGCTTAAAGTTCAAGAAAAACGGACCAAAACACAAAAAACTTAACATTGAGCAATGAACCATGAAAATGAGTTCAAGGTCAAATAAATCCTGCCAGACTGACATGTACATCGTAAAATATTTCCATACACCAAATATAGTTGACCTAATGCATACAGTATTAGAAAAACAGACCAATACACAAAAAATTAACATTGAGCAATGAACCGTGAAAATAAGGAAAAGATCAAATAAAACCTGCCAGACTGACATGTACATCGTAAAATATTTCCATACACCAAATATAGTTGACCTATTGCATACAGTATTAGAAAAACAGACCAAAAAACAAACTTATTTTTTACAACTAAACAATGAAAATGAGGTCAAGGTCAGATGACACCTGCCACCCAACATAGTACCATAGACCTATTGCTTATAGAATCGGAGATATGGACTTGACCATGAAAACTTAACCTTGTTCACTGATCCATGAAATGAGGTCGAGGTCAAGTGAAAACTGTCTGACAGGCATGAGAACCTTGCAAGGTATGCACATACCAAATGTAGTTATCCTATTACTCATAATAAGAGAGAAATTAATATTACTTTTTTTTCAAGTAGTTACTGAACCATGTAAATGAGGTCAAGGACAATGGACATATGACAGACGGAAACTTCATATCATAAGGCATCTATATACAAAGTATGAAGCATCCAGGTCTTGTACCTTCTGAAATATTAAGCTTTAAAGAAGTTAGTTAACGCCGCCGCCGGATCACTATCCCCATGTTTAGCCTTCTGTGACGTCGCAGGCTCAACAAAAAATCACTTTCTTGGTCTTGAAGATTAGCTTCTGTCCAAGTTTCATAACACTCCATGAAGGTTTACAAATTTATCATGTCAAAAAAATTTAATCCCAGACTGTCTATAAATGTAAACTGTAGATTACCAAGTCCATCTATCAGAAAAATACTAAAAATGAAAAAAATATACCGGTATTTCTAAAGGTTTGCTTTAGACATTATGTCTTAATCATTAAAAACTTTATGCCAAAGTTTCATAGATCTCTATGAAGGTTTGACAAAGTTATTGTTGTGAAACAAACTTTAACTTCAGCTATATCTACCTGTTAACTGTAAAAAAACTAAGTCCATTTATCAGTAAAATATGGAAAAATGAAAATTAATATTTTCAAAATTTTGCTCTGGATACTGTCTTTTGGTCATTAACAAGCTTCCGTCCCATAAAATTCCATGAAGGTTTGAGAAAGATATTGATGACTGAAAAACTTTAACCTCAGATTAAATCTGAATGTTAACTGTAAAATATACTAAGTCCATTTATCAGTAAAATACGGAAAAATGAAAATAAATATTTCAAAAATTTTGCTCTGGATTCTTTATTTTGGTCATAAACAAGCTTCTGTACAAATTTCATTAATTCCATGCAAGTTTGACAAAGTTATTGATGTCTAAAAAAACTTTAACCACAGACGGAACTGTTGAGGCTTCACTATGTAGTGTAGTCACTGAACCATGAAAATGAGGTCAAGGACAATGGACATATGACAGACGGAAACTTCGTAACATAAGGCATCTATATACAAAGTATGAAGCATCCAGGTCTTCTAGCTTCTAAAATATAAAGCTTTTAAGAAGTTAGCTAACGCCGCCGCCTCCGTAGCCGGATCACTATCCCTATGTTGAGCTTTTTGCGACAAAAAGTTGCAGGCTCGACAAAAAACCAAGGTAAAGGAACGCTCAACTTAAAGTGAGTTCTATTAAGGTCATATATCAAGGTTCAAGAGGCATTCACACATTTTCAATGTATATGTCCTATTTCCACATACTAATCACATAAAATAAATCAACAACCAGTTACATCTACATTTATTTAATTAAAAACAATGTTCATGTATAATATTTACAATTTTTCAGTTCATGCATAGTTTTTAATTATCTGATGAAAATGAACTGACCACATTATCAACATCTATACCTACTACTTTGTACTTGGCAAAACAAATCTGTGAAGTTATAGTTATAATGGGTTTTATATGATCTGAAAGATGTAAGAAATAAAAATCTAAAAAAAAATGTGAAACACAATGATAACGAAAATACATGCAACTTGACCGTTATTTTTACCAGATACTGGATATTTTTAATTTATCATTTGTGTGAACAAAATTTAGTTTTGTAGAAATAGAGATTTGAGGTATATATTAATGAGACAAAAAACCAACAACACACAGAAATCTAAATACATCTTGTGTACAATAGACAACAAAGGCAGTATGTCAAGCTTTAAAGGTGCCCATGTATAAAATTGTGAATAAATATTTAAGAATTAAAATATAAGAAAAATTTTACTTCGTCCAGATACTGTGGTCAATTTAGGGCTATTCCATTTAAACAAATGTGGGAGGATAGAAGGGATGTTTTATTTTTTGACATGGGTCGTGGGTCATTTATAATTTTATATTGATTTGATGTATGCAAAATTACTCTAAGTATGTTGGTTGTGGGGGGATTTTTGAAAGTCCCTTCATACCCTTCCACATTCACTTTAATGAAATAGCCCTAAATTTGAAATGCCTTATCACCCTATTCTTCTGGTAAGTTTATTCTTTAACAATTACTTGTCTTCTATAAACAAAAGTAACAGTTTTCCAAAGAATAACACGATGTTGAAGATAAAATGAATAAAAAGTATGAAAACATAAACCAATGGAATATTTTAAATAGACGACTGATAAAGTATAGATTACTTTGATGTTCATGAACTACAAGCCATTATTATGATATTTATGAAACACTTGATTGTATGAATCATCTTAAAATGATAATCAAACTCTAATTATCCTCCTTTCCTACAATCTGAATTCATATTTTCTCTCTCTTTCAATAAATCAAAATCAATGTAGTCAAATATGAATAAATATGTGGGCCTTTTGTTGGGTATATATGTCAATGAGACCACATCCCTACAACACAAATAGGCTTAAGAATTTTCTGTGATGTTTTTGATTCTGCTGTTTATTTATGTCATTGGGTTGCTGTCTCATAGACACATACCCTTTATCAATGTTTATCAATTCATAGGAAAACTTTAAAATATACAAATTATTCAGACCATGAATGGTCTCCCCACAATTTTTGGGGAAACCAATATTTGAAAATGTTTTTCATTCATATAAATAGTTGCCACGTCAAGAAAATACAACTTGCACAGTAAACTTTCAAAATTTCCCACATAATAAACATATTTCTACAAAATATTTATCATTTGACCTGGAGTTCAGTATAAATAATTATGGTATCAAATGACCTCAACATAATAAACAGGCAACACAGTTCCACATATATACACAATACACAAAAACATTAGTGAGATGAACTAGAACTTGATCTGCTGTATCTTCTGCGTCTTGCTGGTGACCTTGACCTTGATCGTCTTCTTGGTGGGGAGCGTCTACGAGGAGGTGATCTAAAATACAATGAATGAAGTAATATTCATACAAATATTTATTGAAATACTATAATTTATTACAGACAGGCCTGGGGCCATTACATTGCAATGTAATGCATTACATTACAATTACATTTTATCTCACATGTAATGCATTACATTACAATTACTTTGCCTGTGTAATGCATTACATTACACATTACTTTTTCAATACAAAATCTGGCACTCCAAGGCGGGTATGGAGCAAGAGGGTGAACTGTGGTTTATTTTATCAATAGTACCGCTTAATTGACGCTAGGGGCTGTCTTGATGTAGGGTATGAATGATTCGTTCATTGTTGAAGACCCTACATCAACTGTCAAGATGAAGAACAGGAATAATTTTTATATTTTTTCTATGTATTGTATGCGATTTTGTCCCATGTACATTTACTCCATATCCTTTTATATTCTAAAAACATTTCCAGATTTTTATAAGGACATGAAGAAATTGATAAATATTACCGGGGTATATTTACATATATATACAGTGTTAGTGACATAGACTTCAAATACTGGTTTATTAAATAAATTATCATATAATTTTGTTTCTAACATTGATCATTAAGACATCATAAAGGGATTTCAAAGGGATATAAATAATGTGTCATTAAAGGATTATCTTGTTAAATGCCTAAGGGCTCTGTGAGGACAAACATAAGTTGAGAAGATTTGATTGCAATAAAAACATTTTGATATTAATTAGGTGAAATAACAACACAGACAGGACCCAAACCACAGTTTGGTGTAAAAATGATGATTGACATATTCAATCTTTTATTGAAATAATGTAAGGTGTGTACAGAATTATGAAAATTTTATCTTCATATTTTTTCCATTCATCTATGTAGTTTTGTTTAATATTTTTTTAGAAGATTTTTCATGGACCACCAAACACCAAAATGTTCCCAATATCATTTTATACAAATATCAGAAACCAAGATCAAGACTAGTTGGCTTAGGGGATTTAATAATGGATCCGTAAAGAAGTTTTAAGGGCAAACTATAATGATTTAATACAGTACTTAACTGTGACAATAATTTTATTCAATACTTTCTATTGTTTTTGTTAATATTTTATTTTTATTTTACTATATTCTTCAATTTTATGTATTTTAAGTAATGTACAGTAATGGAGGCATTACATTGACTTTTAACTAAAGTAATCATTACATTACATGTAATTGCAATGCAGAAAATGTGCATTACAAGTTACTTTGCATTACATCAAAAAAATGTAATATTACAATGCATTACAATTACAAATTACCATTACCCCAGGCCTGATTACAGATAACTTAGTTCTCGGAGTCTTGACATTGAAAAGTAACATTTTAATATGAAAGGGATTATTCCATTGTGGTGTGTTTTGTGTTAAAATACTATAAACCATTTTCAAATGAATTTTATAGTTTGTTCTTATGTTGTGCTGTAACACCACTATCCCAGGTTAGGGGAGGGTTGAGAGCTCATAAAAATGTTTAACCCTGCTACATTCTGTATGTGCCTCTCCCAAGTCAGGAGCCTGTAGGTCAGTGGTTGTTGTTGGTTCATGTCTGTCATATTTGTTTTTCATAAATTGTTTTGTTATAAATTAGACTGTTAGTTTTCTCAATTGAATTGTTTCATATTTTTCATGTAGGGCTTTTAATGTAGACTATAGGGTATAAGTTTTTCTCATTGTTGAAGGCCATATGGTTGCCTATAATTGCTTACATCCACATATTTGAACTTGAGTGGCAATCATACCACATCATTAAATGACTGACAAAAATCAAAAACATCATATGTTTTAATGCTTAAAAAATAAATATGTCTTTAGTGTTTAGAGAAGAGAAAAATATAGCTCATCTACATAATAAACAGTGTCTTTTCCATGTTTACTCTTTCATTTTTTTTTTTCAAGAGAGAACAATAAAGTCTAATTACTGATCAAGAAAAGTTTCTCTTTTAATGTTTATTCACGGGTGTGGAAAAGCTATGCTTGACTCGTACATTTGACCGATCGGACAAGCAATTTTTTGTGTCTTTGTTGCCCGTGGACAAGTAAAAACAATGTTGCTTGACAATTTTAATGTATATAATCATATAGAAAAGTTCTCAAAATTTATTCATCAAAGTAGAAACATGTCAAATAACAAGACAAAAGCAACATGTTTAAGTGAAACAACATCAATGATCAAGAAATAGGTCTATTATCAAACAGCAAAAAAATAAGTATGCGGACCAGGGTTTCATTAATATTCTGTGATTTTTTCCTATTGATCCGGGATCATTGATCAGGTTATAGAGAACTCAAGGATACACCAAACATGGTCATTATCAATTTGGAGCTCTGATTTCTCAACTAAATAACCTGTCGAGTTGGATAAGCATCTTTAGATAGTTCATTGCTTGGAAGTTGACCAACAGAGAAGAGGCGCCTCATGAAAAAGAATTGAGCCAAGAACTTGGTTTTGATAAGAAATGGAAATCAGAAGCGGCAAAAGAAAAATAGTGCAAAAAAAAGGTGCAAACAACAGTTCCATAATTCATCAATTATTTGATCTTCAACTCTCCATTAACTTTGAAACTTCACACAGGCTCACAGTGAAGAAAATATGTCATAATATAATATCCCTGCAGGTTCCTGCAAGCTAGCATCGAAAAACATTGCAAAATTGGCCTCTCGACTCTTTAGTTTAAAGTTGTTTTTTTTTGGTTGGTTTCTATCTCATTGGTGTATACTCTACTTATCTCTTTTATCATTCTAACGTACAAACAAAGACAATAAGTACTATTTTCATTGTGTTTCATAATTGTTTTAGAAACATACACGTTTACAGTAAAATACATCTTCCACATTCCAAAATTCAGTAAGAAATCAGGGCAAATACCTTTCTTCCGAACAAGTAAAATTAAATTTTTCATTTATATAAGCATATTTTTGTACCTCCTGCGATCTCTGTATGATCCTCTGGGAGGGGACCCTCCTCCTCGCCTATTTTCCCGGTTTTCCCATCTGGGTGGTGGTCTATGAGGAGGACTGCGACGAGGTCTGGACACCACTCTAGGTGGCAGTACTGCAGCAGCTGTCACTTCTTGTCCATCAATTTGACCTGATAACAAAAAAAAATTCTTAAAAAAAAAAGTTGAAATATCTATGAATTATGTTAATACCGTAGAAAGGCTTGTATAGTTCGCACTGGTACATAGTCCGCACCCCCTTCTCCCCACGAAATTTTAGGTAAAAAAACTTTTTGTAACTGTTACAAAAGGTCTAATGAAACTCCGGTAATTTCAAATCCTGTGCGGTCGTTTGCGGTATTTTCTTGGGAAAACCTGTTTTCCATCATCAAACAGAAGCTGAAACTGCTTGTAAATGATTCTAGAACGCTTCATGATTGTTAAAATAAGTTTAATTCACTTAAAAAACAATTTAGAAAAATGTTTAAACAGGAAGTTTAAAAAGCACGTGTAAAAGAAGAAACTAACCGGTGAGAGTCGAAATCCGTACATAACAGATATCACTATAATACGACTTTGAAAGTAAAAATGTTCCATCCTTTTGTAAAACAGTCTTTAATATATCTATCACATTAATGTTTGAAGGGTCTTAAGCTAATACAAACCATATTAGTCAGTATAAAACACCAAAACGGAACGAACAATAACCGATTACTTTTTGTAGTTTACAAATTCTAAGCTGGTTTACGGTTGTCTTTTTCACTATGTTTGTATCGTTTCAATCAAGCAGATACCAGTTTATTTCAACCAATGCATTGAAAAGAAACAAGAAATTTGTAATGAAAGGTTTAGTTTTTATATTTATCAGTATTAATTTGATATTGAATAGAAATAACTTATTAATATGGATGAGTTAAAATTATTAGTTTGAAAAATGATAAGAGCGCCCTCTACAATATAAATAACAAAGATGGCGGAACGTAAACAAACCACCTCGCCCGCGAAATTGAAATTTTCCTCTTATTTCTTGCTTATTGTACTCTATAGTCCGCACCCCGTCTGGAAGGTCCAATTTTGGAGAATAAAACCGCGGACAATATAAATAACAAAGATGGCGGAACGTAAACAAACAACCTTGCCCGCGAAATTGAAATTTTTCTCTTATTTCTTGCTTATTGTACTCTATAGTCCGCACCCCGTCTGGAAGGTCCAATTCTACGGTACTTCAGGCCAAGTTGATAAACTCACTTTAGGAAGAATGTTTATGTGTGTGATTTTTGAATTAATACATTTGTAAATATGTTAACTCTAAAAATAAATAGATCTATGCCTAAATCTGTTTTTATTAGAAGACACACTGAATAGTGGAACCATATAATGCATTTTCCTAAATTAAAGAATTTCATTTTGCATGATTTAGAAATGTTTTAAACAAATATATAGAAATTTTATACCAAGACTCTTTATATGCACAACTCAATAAGATACACATATCTATGAATAGGAAGATCTAATTCAATATCGTATAATATACTTGTGTTCTGTTTACTCACAAATGACTCACAACCAATATATAAATACTGTGGATTCATTTTTATTCGTGGTATACCAATTTTCGTGGGTTTCGTGGGTTACAGCGAACCACGAATTTAAGAATTCAACGAAGAATAATCCCGAGAAATGTGTATGGAGTCAGATGTTTATTTCCGGTTATGTTATGCAGTTCTAGTATAGTGTTGACTAACGATAAACATTGTAACATAACACGTGTTTTTATTGAAAGAAGATACAAGTTTTTTTTATTAAATCAATAATAAATATATCGAATATCAGTGATAATTTACTTTTTAAAATTGAATAAAACTGTTCATGGAAAATAACTGTAAGTTGTTAATTACCGTGTCATAGTGTGGTTTACTGGTGATTAAAAATCAATAGGATTAAGTACGTGGATATTGCCCGCAGGTAATATTGTTTATGACAGGAACATTTATTTCCACACCTTTTACTTATATGACTGTTTATTATATCGTGATTAGGGAAATGAGCTTTCAATCATAGAGTTTTGAATGCCTTATAAAATTCCGACCAAAATTTATAAATTGTAAAACAAGTAATTAGTTGTCTCTCTCCATAATGTAATAGAAGTTTTCAATGAACACTTTAACCTAGAATGACCAAGCGAGGATTCAAAACTTTTTCAATGAATTCCTTCTTTTTTGTTTGTTTTATTATTGATCAAACCAAGGAGGTTATATGATCTCCTAAATTAAAAAGAAATCCACGAATTACGTATCTGAATTTTTTTCTTTTTCTTTTTGTAATCAGCGATCCACGAATTTACGTATACCACGAAATGTCTTTTTTTCTCTATCCACGAAAATTGATAAACACGAAAAATAAATGAATCCACAGTATAAAACTTTCCTTTCCTACCCTCCCAATCCATTTTAATGGAATAACCCTATAAATAGAATACCTCCATTCATGTATTTAATAGCTTTCTCAGCATCATCAGGTTTCTCATACTCTATGTAAGCATATCCTTTAATGAAGTTTGGATGAACTCTTTCCACTGGAACATCTAGGTTCTTCAGTGTACCATAGACAGTAAATATCTCCTGTATGTGCTCTTTATTGACATTTCTAGTCAGCTGTCCGATGTGAACTTTGGTTGGTCGAGGTGTTGGGCTTCTCTTCCGTCTTTTTGGAGATCTACAATAAACATGACCAGGATGATCAATACCATTGAATTTATTCCAACTTCATTACAAACAAACAACAAAATATGAGCATAAGCTTTTGCTCTGGACTTAAAATTCCAATTGTTTTCTTTTTTTGCATTTACAAAAAGTTTAAATACGGTACTCTAATTTAAATAAATGGGGAATGTGTCCATATGCCCCTGCTTGCAAAAAGAGACATAACTCAAGAACGTTTAAAGTGGTAATAAGCATTGTGTATAAGTTTCATAGCATTTTGTTGATGCAAACTTAAGATGGAGAACGGAAACGAAAAATTCAGCAATTTTTCCATTTGTACAGGGGCATAACTCTAGAACAGTAATAGTGAGGCCACCCAAAATCAAACTTGATCTGTATTTTGTGGTAATAAGCATTGTGTAGCAACATTTGGTTGAGGCAAACTAAAGTTAGAGAATGGAAACCAATTTCGGGACGTCACACGTACAGACGGACAAGGGTAAAACTTCGCTGGGGCATAAAAATGCTTCATTAATAAGATACATCAAGACCTGCAAACTTTTCATTTATTAAAGGGGAAAGAAGTTGAATTGACACATTTAAACCACAGAATATTTATTAGATTAAAACACAGATGCCATGTTTAAAATTCTCGTGCTTCAATACTTTTGTACCGAGATGGGGTGTTTTTCTGTGTTGATTTCATTTTGAAACAAAAACGTCACATGAAAACATAAGAAATCTAGGGATTGTTTGCATCAATACAACGTTGCCTCCATGAAAACATTATTTATGGATGATGTAACTCTATGTAGGGGTTGAACAAGGGTAATGGGGTCAAAAAAGAAAATTGTGGTTAAAAATTTATAGTGGAAATCTTTTAAAACATGCCATTTGCTTAATTCACCTGTTTGAAAAACTAGGGTATGCATAGAAAATGTCTGAGATACAACTTTTTCAACCTCAAAATTGAAACGGCAACTATCTCAGAACTCTACTAACAATCTTATTTGAACTCCTTTGTATTGTTTATCAGAAATCTGTTATCAAAGCTATTGCAAATTCAATTCATGAACAAAGGAATATAAGTAATTAATAACTGTGTAACATATGCTTTCCAATAGTCAGTGAGAGAGGACATTGAATGTAGATTAAATACATGTTATAGAATTAACTAGGTTGTTTGTAAAAGTTTCATAGGAATTCAATGCATACTGGGGTTATGTGACATATGAAAATTTTTCTAGTTTTTCACGATTTTGATGTGATAAAACTATTTTAGATTTCCTACCTACAGTCAAGGGTGTGACTTAAACAAGTGATATCATTATTGCCTATTTTAATGATTTAAAAATTTCAGTAATCCTTTTCATGTGATTTTTGTGTTTCCTTTGATCATCAAATTCTAATTTCATTAATTTTACATTAAATGACAATTTATCTGTAATTTGCCCTACATTCATGTAGTTCAATAATCCCTTTCTCTTGGATATCAATTTCAACAGTGCGCTAGGGCTATGTAATCAAATATTCAGTAAAGTAGTACCTCTGAAAGACCTATATATTACAAAAGGTAGATCATTCAGCATGAAATACTTACTCTGATGCCTTGCGCTTTGCCTCTTTAGTTTTCTTAGTGGGCCTGTCACTGTCTGATGATCCACTAGAGCTGGAACTCCCCGACCGTGAGGACGAACTACTCCCAGAACTACTACTTCCACTGCTAGAACTACTGTCGGAGGATGATGATCTGGATCTACTTCTGCCTTTTGAGCTTCCTGATGAACTGTAATTATTGATCAAATGATGACAAATGATAATGACATACAACAATTACTTATGTTAATTTATCCTCTCTCTCTATGTCCAAAGTCTAGCAAGTTTTTCTTTAAACTTGTAAAGAAATTTTGTCAAACATAATTAATTTCAGACTAGAATTTTTACTATAATAAATAAAAGAACAGAGTTCCAATGTCCCCCGTGTAGCACTTATTTGATCTATCCAAGGTACAAGGGCAATAACTAAAAAAAAAAAACAATTTGTAAATATCTTGGAGAAATGAAGGCTTCAGAGCAAATGCAATTTGATTTCCGTTATAATTCTTTTTTCCAAGGGGCTAAACTAAAAAAAATAAAGTCAAAAATACTAATCTAAGGGTAATAACTCCCAATGGGTTCCATTATTTTGGCAGTATTTTATAAGCTATCTATCTGGTTTACAATGCTTATCCTTTGTACTGTTTTTTTCTACCAATCTATAACTTCTATAAAAAGTCATTCAAAAGTTCTGTAATACAGGCAAGTAGACCTTGTATTGCTGATTTTCTCTTTCAGTAGACAATCAATGTATTTTATCCATATGTTCAATTTTTAGTCATGGCTATGTTGGTTAATTGGTAGGAACCAAAAAACAAAAACTTTATACTAGATACCTTAAGTAGAGGAATATCCATATGATTATTATAAATTGATTGATTTGTTGTTTCAGATCTCAATCATTTCTGATGTCAATTATAGATATGAGAAAATAGTGTTATGCTAATTTATGATGCAGATGTCTCAACACTTTTGAAAACTATTGATGCAACGTTACAACATGCCTGCAGTGCCCAGTACCAGATTGCTGATATGAGACAGATGATATTTCAATGCCCTTGTGGTTGCAGCATTACTTACAACTCAAGCATCAGTTCATTCGGCAGCTGCTGGTGCCATTGTCAGCAAAAATAGAAAAAAAGTAAAACATCGAACTTTTCATCAGCTGGTTCCATGGAAGTTTGGATCATTCAATTTAAGTTTGGTTGAAATTGGTCCAGTGGTTTCAGAGAAGATTTTTAATTTTTTTTTACAGAAGCCAAGTGATGGCAATATTTAGCTCACAGGCACATAGGGCAATATGATCAAATGATAGTAAAATTCTTAGATCCTTTCAAAATGATGTAAAGGCTATTGAAAAATGTTAATGGTAATGTCACTATAATGTCATATGAATGTTGAAATTGACAGTCAGGGATATAACTCTATAGGGTTATTACAGAAAAATAACATACATTTGTTATTGTGGACTAAAAAATCAAAGAACTATGATAACATATGTATGTTACATGTTTCAAAGGGACAATATACATCATTAGTTTAGTTAAAATGTATACAAGTTCTAGTGATATTACTATTGTCTTTATGTATACTTAACTATAGAAAGATATAACCGTTCATAGTTTGCCAATTATGCATAGTACACCTATGTTATTACAGAAAAAAGATGCCTGTAATAACTAAAGGGTGTTATCACAGCTACTCCAAAGCATTTGCTCAGACATACATCATGCTTAATTACAATGTATTTTAGTTAATTGTAAGAAATAATGACCAGAGCATGTAATGAGGTTCTGCGCAAGCTTCCCAGTAATTCCCAAGTGTCTCATATAATAAGTTACATTCCTTTAATAACTAAGCCTTGTTATTACAGCTAAGTTTATCCCTTAAAAGCCTTGTCTCATTGATTTACCATGGTTAATCAAAAATGTATTAATTTAATTAAAAAATTAGTTATCAAGGCTATGCATTTAGTTTCTGCGCAAAGTCTCAAGAGTTCCCTAGAGCCCACTGTAGATTAAAATATTTTTGATTTATTTTACAAACATTACAAATAACAAACATATGTTATTACAGATTTATAAAATTTAAGGAATAAAGAGTAGACAACTCATGAAAGTATCTGTAATAACACATGCAAGTTATTTTCTGTAATAACCCTATAGAGTTATATCCCTGACTGATTGAGGTATACATGTGACTTAATATGGCCATTTTATACATAGATTGTTAGAATTAGATATGAGTCAAGGCCTTCCCAAAATATTTTACCTGCATTTACATTTTGTAGAAACATGTATATTTCTGCGTTAGGAACAAGTGGCTCATATCCATGATATCTATATATGAATGACAAGATCTCAAAATGCAACTTCATTGGCAGTTTTGTGTAACATGCAAGAAGTTTTAAGCCTGTATACCAAGACACAATTCAGATTTAAATAAACTGATACCAACAACTAATTTTTTGTGAACATTAGAAGCATCTTATTTGATCATGTTGATAGGTTTTCAAATTCATGGGACAAAAAAGGCCCAGCTTCCACTTTTAGACACAAGACTTATGCCTGAGACTAGTAAAAATTGGTTCTTGCTATATATAAATGGAGAGTGGAATCTGTAGCATGGCATTCTAATAACTGCAAAAATGACAAATCCAAAATCATGTGCTACGTTTTATATTAGTGACTTACAAATAAGTTTAAAATGAGATCACAAAAACGCATGCTTCAATTAAAAACAAAGAAGAAATTGTCCATGTAAGTTATACTTCTAAGGACTGTAACTCAAGTAAATTTTCTTTATCAGTAAACATTTTAAAACTTGGCTGAGATAGTGCTGATAACTAACTATAAACCTTCAATATTGTCAAAATCAAAATCTGTCAAGTAATGCAGTCATGTGATAGTAAACATAAACAAGTCAGAAATATCAAACATTTTTATGCCAACTACTCTTAGCAGCGGGGGACAAAATACTTGATAAAAACTTATAGTAATCAAATTATTTTTCATAAGTAAAGGAGAAATCTTTAAATATTTCAATTATGGCTGGCGTTCTCTTTCATAACTTGCTGGACCTTACATTTCCCAAGGGTTAAGAATTAAATATCCCATACTAGAGGCTCTAAAGAGCCTGTGTCGCTCACCTTGGTCTATGTGAATATTAAACAAAGGACGCAGATGGATTCATGACAAAATTGTGTTTTGGTGATGGTGATGTGTTTGTACATCTTAATTTACTGAACATTTTTCCTGCTTACAATTATCTCTATCTATAATTAACTTGGCCCAGTAGTTTCAGAGGAGAAGATTTTTGTAAAAGATTACTAAGATTTACGAAAAAATGGTTAAAATTGACTATAAAGGGCAATAACTCCTAAAGGGGTCAACTGACAATTTCGGTCATGTTGACTTATTTGTAGATCTTACTTTGCCGACATTTATCGTTTTTTACAGTTTATCTCTATCTATAATAATATTCAAGATAATAACTAAAAACAGCAAAATTTCCTTAAAATTACCAATTCAGGGGCAGCAACCCAACAACGGGTTGTCCGATTCATCTGAAAATTTCAGGGCAGATAGATCTTGACCTGATAAACAATTTTACTTCATGTCAGATTTGCTTTAAATGCTTTGGTTTTTGAGTTAAAAGCCAAAAACTGAATTTTACCCCTATGTTCTATTTTTAGCCGTGGCGGCCATCTTGGTTGGTTGACCAGGTCACGCCACACATTTTTAAAACTAAATAACCAAATGATGATTGTGGCCAAGTTTGGTTTAATTTGGCCCAGTTGTTTCAGAGGAGAAGATTTTTGTAAAAGATTACCAAGATTTACGAAAAATGGTTAAAAATTGACTATAAAGGGCAATTACTCCTAAAGGGGTCAACTGACCATTTCGGTTATATTGACTTATTTGTAAATCTTACTTTGCTGAACATTATTGCTGTTTACAGTTTATCTCTATCTATAATAATATTCAAGATAATAACCAAAAACAGCAAAATTTCCTTAAAATTACCAATTCAGGGGCAGCAACCCAATAACGGGTTGTCCGATTCATCTGAAAATTTCAGGGCACGATAGATCTTGACCTGATGAACAATTTTCCCCCCATGTCAGATTTGCTTTAAATGCTTTGGTTTTTGAGTTAAAAGCCAAAAACTGAATTTTACCCCTATGTTCTATTTTTAGCCGTGGCGGCCATCTTGGTTGGTTGACCAGGTCACGCCACACATTTTTAAAACTAGATAACCAAATGATGATTGTTGCCAAGTTTGGTTTAATTTGGCCACGTAGTTTCAGAGGAGAAGATTTTTGTAAAAGATTACTAAGATTTACGAAAAATTGTTAAAAATTGACTATAAAGGGCAATAACTCCTAAATGGGTCAACTGACCATTTCAGTCATGTTGACTTATTTGTTAATCTTACTTTGCTGAACATTATTGCTGTTTACAGTTTATTTCTATCTATAATAATATTCAAGATAATAACCAAAAACAGCAAAATTTCCTTAAAATTACCAATTCAGGGGCAGCAACCCAACAACAGGTTGTTCGATTCATCTGAAAATTTCAGGGCAGATAGATCTTGACCTGATAAACAATTTTACTTCATGTCAGATTTGCTCTAAATGCTTTGGTTTTTGAGTTATAAGCCAAAAACTGCATTTTACCTCTATGTTTTATTTTTAGCTGTGGCGGCCATCTTGGTTGGTTGGCCGGGTCACGCCACACATTTTTTAAACTAGATACCCCAATGATGATTGTGGCCAAGTTTGGTTTAATTTGGCCCAGTTGTTTCAGAGGAGAAGATTTTTGTAAAAGATTACTAAGATTTACGAAAAATGGTTAAAAATTGACTATAAAGGGCAATTTCTCCTAAAGAGGTCAACTGACCATTTCGGTTATATTGACTTATTTGTAAATCTTACTTTGCTGAACATTATTGCTGTTTACAGTTTATCTCTATCTATAATAATATTCAAGATAATAACCAAAAACAGCAAAATTTCCTTAAAATTACCAATTCAGGGGCAGCAACCCAATAACGGGTTGTCCGATTCATCTGAAAATTTCAGGGCAGATAGATCTTGACCTGATGAACAATTTTACCCCATGTCAGATTTGCTCTTAATGCTTTGGTTTTTGAGTTATAAGCTAAAAACTGCATTTTACCCCTATGTTCTATTTTTAGCCGTGGCGGCCATCTTGGTTGGTTGACAGGGTCACGCCACACATTTTTAAAACTAGATACCCCAATGATGATTGTGGCCAAGTTTGGTTAAATTTGGCCCAGTAGTTTCAGAGGAGAAGATTTTTGTAAAAGTTTACGGACGACGGACGCAAAGTGATGAGAAAAGCTCACTTGACCTTTCAGGTCAGGTGAGCTAAAAATGGCATCAAGATATTTTTGTAAACACGGAATATTTCAGGACAAAGGAAAAGTAAAATGGCAATAACTGCACATTGATGCAATGAAAAAATGGCATGTGTTTGGTTATCAAAGATTTTCTCAAGTTAATAAACTAGACCAGTCATCATTTGGTTTTCACAAATCTCAGTGATTTTCCTGCCAATGTTTCTCCTAGAGGGACAACTCAACATGTCAGCCTTACTCATCATTATGTCTCTTGTCTAAATAACTTCTCTCTTGGCCTCTTGAGACATTGATTTACCCACTTTACCATACCTGAAAAATACAAAAGTTCAATTACTAATATATCCTCTAATTATAATCATTGATAATATATATTGTTATGTTTAAACCTGTTCCAATAGACAAATAAAATGCTCCACTGGGGTGCAGCTTGATACGACCGCAGAGGTCGAACCCTGAACAGTTGGGGCAAGTATGGACACTACATTCAAGCTTGATACAGCACTGAATTTGGATTGTAATTAAATATTTGACACAGCATAGGTTTCAGACACAGAATGAATGTGGTCCATGTGGTCTAAGAACTTAAAATTTTTTAATTTACCTATTCAAACCATATCATTATTATTTGCTTTTATATATAAATCAGAAATAACCAATTTAAAATGGAAAATTTTAAAGAAAAAAAGGAAAAAAAAATCCCCCCCCCCATAATTTGTTGAACCCCCTTATGATTCATCACCCCTAAACTCAATCCCAGCCTTCCCTTTGTGGTATGGTACCTTGCAGTACAATTTCAGAGAGATCCATACACTTGAACACAAGTTATTGTCTGGAAACTAGAAAATTACTTGTTTTTTGGCCCCAAATTCCTAAACGTTTAGGGCAATTACCCCCAAACTCAAACCCAGCTTTCCCTTTGTGATATGGAACCTTGTAGTACAATTTCATAAAGATCGATACACTTACACACAAGTTATTGTCCTGAAACTAGAAAAATGCTTGTTTTTTTCCCCTTTATGGCCCCTAATTCCTAAAATTTTGAGGCAATTACCCCCAAAATCAATCCCAGCCTTTCCTTTGTGGTATGGTACCTTGCAGTACAATTTCCGAGAGATCCATACACTTGAACAAAAGTTATTGTCTGGAAACTAGAAAAATGCTTATTTTTGGCCCCTTATTCCTAAAATTTGGAGGCAATTACCCCTGAACTCAATTCCAGCTTTCCCTTTGAGATATGGAACCTTGTAGTACAATTTCATAAAGATCCATACACTTACACACAGGTTATTGTCATGAAACTGGAAAAATGCTTGTTTTTTGCCCCTTTTTGGCCCCTAATTCCTAAAATTTGGAGGCAATTACCCCCAAAATCAATCCCAGCTTTCCCTTTGTGATATGGAACCTTGTGGTACAATGTCAAAGAGATCCATACACTTACACACAAGTTATTGTCATTAAACTAGAAAAATGCTTGTTTTTTGCCCCTTTTTGGCCCCTAATTCCTAAAATTTGGAGGCAACTACCCCAAAAATCAATCCCAGCATTCCCTTTGTGATATGGAACCTTGTGGTACAATGTCAGAGATCCATACACTTACACACAAGTTATTGTCATGAAACTAGAACAAGAGTGCACACGCTGAAATGTCTCGCCTTCTTTACTAATCATTGATATTATGTTGATAGTCCTAAATATAAAGCTTTATTACAACTGTCACATAAACTTAACATTAACCAAGTAAACTAAACATTGACCAATGAACCATGAAAATGAGGTCAAGGTCAGATGAACCATGCTAGGCAGGCATGTACAGCTAACAATTCTTCCATACAACAAATAGAGTTGACCTATTGCTTATAGTTTAAGAAAAACAGACCAAAACACAAAAACTTAACACTGAGCAATGAACCTTGAAAATGAGGTCAAGGTCAAATAAAACCTGCGTGACTGCCAAATAGATCATAAAATATTTCCATACACCAAATATAGTTGAACTATTGCATATAGTATAAGAAAAACAGACCAAAACACAAAAACTTAACTATAACCACTGAACCATGAAAATGAGGTCAAGGTCAGATGACACCTGCCAGTTGGACATGTACACCTTACAGTCCTTCCATACACCGAATATACTAGACCTATTGCTTATAGTATCTGAGATATGGACTTGACCACCAAAACTTAACCTTGTTCATTGATCCATGAAATGAGGTCGAGGTCAAGTGAAAACTGTCTGACGGGCATGAGGACCTTGCAAGGTACGCACATACCAAATATGGTTGAACTATTGCACATAGTATTAGAAAAAAAGACCAAAACTCAAAAACTTAACTTTGACCACTGAACCATGAAAATGAGGTCAAGGTCAAATGACACCTGCCCGCTAGACATGTACACCTTACAATCATTCCATACACCAAATATAGTAGACCTATGGCATACAGTATAAGAAAAACAGACCAAAACACAAAAACTTAACTATAACCACTGAACCATGAAAATGAGGTCAAGGTCAGATGACACCTGCCAGTTGGACATGTACACCTTACAGTCCTTCCATACACCAAATATACTAGACCTATTGCTTATAGTATCTGAGATATGGACTTGACCACCAAAACTTAACCTTGTTCACTGATCCATGAAATGAGGTCGAGGTCAAGTGAAAACTGTCTGATGGGCATGAGGACCTTGCAAGGTACGCACATACCAAATATAGTTATCCTATTACTTATAATAAGAGAGAATCTAACATTACAAAAAATCTGAACTTTTTTTTCAAGTAGTCACTGAACCATGAAAATGAGGTCAAGGACATTTGACATGTGACTGACGGAAACTTCGTAACATGAGGCATCCATATACAAAGTATGAAGCATCCAGACCTTCCACCTTCTAAAATATAAAGCTTTTAAGAAGTTAGCTAACGCCGCCGCCGCCGTAGCCGGATCACTATCCCTATGTCGAGCTTTCTGCGACAAAAGTCGCAGGCTCGACAAAAATGCTTGTTTTTTGCCCCTTTTTGGCCCCTAATTCCTAAAATTTGGAGGCAATTACCCCCAAAATCAATCCCAGCATTCCCTATGTGATATGGAACCTTGTGGTATAATGTCAGAGAGATCCATACACTAACAAACAAGTTATGTCTGGAAGTTACAAAAATGCTTATTTTTGGCCCCTAATTCCTTAACTTCAAAATCAATCCCCACCTTCCTTTTGTGGTATTGAACTTTATGGTAAAATTTCATAGAGATCCATTCACTTAAACTATAGTTAGAGTGCGAAAACCAATGTGTCAAAATTTTTTGCGGTCGTATAATGATAGAAATCTTCTGATAACAAGTGTTTTTAAAATAAAATCAGATACATGTAGAAATGATTTGACCTGGAAGAACCTAGAAATTTTGAAATAATAATCGAATCAAAAGGCTAAACAACAGGATTTGTGTTTTTTAACAATTTAAAAGATGTTCCCAATAGGTACACAATGTACATGTTGACAACTTTCTTTTCAAGGAGACACATATTTTTTAAAAATTGGTTCAATTGGCTGCAGTGCTATGTACAGTTCAGCTACAAAGGCTTCTTAATGCATCAGTACCGTAAGGCCAAAATAGTATGCAAGTTCAGATTTTCCTCCTTAAGAAAATTTTAGTAAGTAGGCAGGTATTCTTTTTTGTTTTGCAATTTTTGTTATATATATATATAATTAATATAGTTTAGGCCATGCAAAAATGATTGTTTGTTTCCCCTAACCATGCAGGGTCTGTTTTTACCCTCTGGGTCAACACCATGGTCAATTTTTTAAATTTTTTTTTAATAAAAAAAGAAGTGTTGTTTCAGTTTCTTTTGACAATTTTCAATGATGCTTTTTAAAATTGTCTAATAAACATGATAACAAAAATCTGTTAAAAGGGATTCAACATTTCTCAATTATCATTCCTTTAGTTTTACATACATTTGTACATGTAGCTTATACCACGATATAGAATTTACTGTCAGGTTAACATGGTTAACAACAACATTCTCCGTAAAGAAACTGATTTTTCACCAAATAAATGGGGAATGTGTCCATGGGACACAGAAGAAGCCCCCGCTTGCATATAACGTTATAAAAGGACATAACTCAAGAACTGTAAAAGTGACGCTACCCAAATTTGTACTTGATCTGAGTTTTGTTGTAATAAGCATTGTTTATAAGTTTCATAACACTTAGTTGAGGCAAACTTGTTAGAGAACGGAAACGAAAAATTCAGCAATTTTTCCACTTGTAAAGGGACACAACTCTAGAACGGTATAATTGATGCCACCAAAATTCGAACCTGATCTGTGTTTTGTGGTAATAAGCATTTTGCATAAGTTTCATAACATTTGGTTGAGGCAAACTAAAGTTAGTGTTAGAGATTGGGAACCAATTTTGGAATGTGCGTACAGACGGACAAGGGTAAAACTTAATGCCCCTCCACTACGGCGGGGGCATAAAAATAAGTTTTTCCTTCCTGCCGTGCCTTAATACTTTTTACAATTTGGTGGTGATTCACTTCCATTATTCTTTTGAGGGGGCATGGGTTTTTTGTTCAGGGGATAAATAATTTTTAACACCTTTTTAAAAACAAAATATTATTTTTTAGCTAAGTTACAGGAACAAAAAACTAGAGGCTCTCAAGAGCCTGTGTCGCTCACCTGTATTTACTGATGCTTTGGAAATCATTTAAAATAAGGTTAAAATCATAATTAAAAGTATTAGATATTATAATGATATCTAAGTTAATAACAAAAAACTGCAAAATTTTTGTAAAATTACTTACTCAGGGGCAGCAACCCAACAACGGGTTGTCGGATTTGTCTGAAATCTTCAGGGCAGATAAATCTAAATATGATGAACATTATGTCACCTGTCAGATTTGCACTAAATGCTTTAGTTTCAGAGATATAAACCAAAAACTGCATTTTACCCCTATGTTCTATTTTTAACCAAGTTGGCCATGATGGTTGGAAGGCGGGGTCATCGGACAAACCTTTTGAACTAAATACCCTAATAATGATTATGGCCAAGTATGATTAAATTTGTCTCAGTAGTTTCAGAGAAGAAGATTTTTGTAAAAGATAACAAAAATTTACGAAAAATTGTTAAAAATTGACTATTAAGGGCAATAACTCCTAAAGGGGTCGACTGACAATTTTGGTCATGACAACTTATTTGTAGATCTTACTTTGCTGAACATTATAACTGTTTACAGTTTATCTCTATCTATAACAATATTCAAGATAACCAAAAACTGCAAAATTTCCTTAAAATTACCAATTCAGGGGCAGCAACCCAACAACAGGTTGTCAGATTTGTCTGAAAATTTCAGGGCAGATAGATCTTTACCTGATAATCAGTTTTACCCTTTGTCAGATTCACTCTAAATGCTTTGGTTTCAGAGATATAAGCCAAAATCTACATTTTACCCCTATGTTCTATTTTTAACCATGGCGGCCATCTTGGTTGGTTGGCCCGGTCACCGGACACATATTTTAAACTAGATACCCCAATGATGATTGTGGCCAAGTTTAGTTTAATGTGGCCAAGTAGTTTCAGAGGAGAAGATTTTTGTAAAAGTTAACGACTACGGACGCCAAGTGATGAGAAAAGCTCACTTGGCCCTTTGGGCCAGGTGAGCTAAAAATTGAGACTCAATGTAGTATTTCTTTATTCCCACAATTATTGGAACAACCTATGTTTTTCACTTTTTTCAACAAATTTAGATTCAAAACAATTTATTTTAAATGCACCCCAGCCCAAATGACTAAATAATTTCAAGTCTGCTTAGTACCTGCTACTGTCTGAATCTGAACCACTACTTGATTCTGACTTTGTCCTCTTCTTTTTTTCTTTGGTTTTTTCTGATCCACTTTTCTTTCTTTCCCTGCTTTTACTCTCACTTCTAACCCTGTAATATCATGAATATGAAAACTGTACATCAATATACCTGTACATGTGTACACTAGAATAACCAAATGGTTAATGTGCCTGCTTTTTTGCGAAAATGCTGGCATACATCTAATAATATGGTCTACGTCTAATAGTAAGTAAACCAAAAATTCATAAAGATAGGATATTCTACACAGATATAGCCGTCCATCTTGAACTTTAGATGTTTTCTCTATTTTCAACTGTTTTGTGCTGCATTTTAGATGTTTCCTGTAATCCCTCTCATATTCTTAAGATACATTTGTAAATAATTTGTCTTTAATTATCCAGAACTCATAAACATGTGTCTAATGAAACATTAGTATTTATATGTTTCAATTAATGTATACATCTAAAATATGCAATATAAACATGATAAATGAAGTTTCAAATAGGAAAATACAATAATAATTGTACATGTATTTGTAGATAAAATAATTTTTCTTAATTTATAATCTATTTGTGAAATTGAAATTCTGTATCAATTGGACATGTTTGAGTTCACCAGCACACATGTACGATTTTTCACTTATTATCAATTGCCAATCATCCTTAACTTTATCTACATCAAAGGATACCTTTATCAGTAGGTGAGGCGTAATATTGATCTAAATGTCTATCAGTAACAGAGTAATAAATTGGTAAAACTGTTTCAACATATCAAAAGAACCAGCATACTATCATCATAGCTTTTTTTAGTTTAATGGACTGACAATAACGTGAATACGGTGAAGACAATATAGTTCCCTCGTAAAACAGATTTTATAACAAACAAAATGTACTTAATTAATCAAATTCGGTAGGGGCATGTACAATACCGGAACCAGTCTTGGTGAAAACACAATTTTTTTCAGGATCTTGACACACACCCCAAATTAAAAAAAAAAACACCTACCTACCAACCCTATTTTTTTTCAGGACATAACTGGAACCACACATATATCTTTACTTGGCCGAAGATGTGTTTTCCCCTAAATGACCTGAGGTAAACCTTGTAAGTTCATTCATAAAACTGAAATTGGAAAGTCGTCCATGATTGGCCTACATGTTTTTAAATCATTTTAGTATATAGTTGTTCTGTTTCAGACTATAATGAAATGCAAAATCATTTTAATCACTGTAAATTGATACCCTATTAGGTATACATTACTCTAACATGGGGATAATAACAATTGAAGAGGATCTTCCCCAACCTGTTGATATGGCATGATGACATATCACATCAGTGATGTAGCAATTAATCCAAATTACTCCCCCCCGTTAATAAAATTATAAGTTTTTATAAATATAAAAGTAAAGGAGAAAAACTATTCTAAAAACACAAAGGCAGAAGTTATCAAGAGCAAATCAACCTCTCAAGGACTTCGACATTCTAAATTTACAAATGTATGCCGAAATTTGCATGAACAGGATAATTTGATGCATTAAATGTTTCAAGCATACTGTACATTATTCATTAATGTCAATTTTATTAGCATTAAAGCTGGGCTTCAATGTTATTGTGAAACTACCTATTCTAGAGGTGGTGTGAATAACAAAAAAACAAAAGCAGCAGTGATATCTGTAACCGAGACATGGTTTCATGAAAAGATAACCAATACAGAGGCTTACATCCCTGGATACACTATACTCAGAAAAGACTAACAGATGTGGAGGTGGTGTGTGTATGTACATTAAAGAAAATCTTGCGTTTACACCAATGAATTTGGACGAAATAAACAATAATGATGAATATTTGTGTATTGAATTATTATTACCAAAATCTAAACCTATTTTTATCCGGACTTGTTATCGACCCCCTCAAAATTGTAATTTTGTTGAGAAATTTGAAATTTTTTTGTCTCAGCTAAGAGAGGATTGTGAAATTATATTACTTGGTGATTTGGACATATGTTATAAAGATCAGAGTGGATCACTGTATAAATCTTTTAATGAGCTTCTAACATGTCTAAAATTGTTTAATTTAAGTCAAATTATTAGAGAGCCAACAAGAATAACAGAATTTACAGCATCTATAATAGATCATATTTTATGTCATAATACTGAGAAAATCTCTGTCTGGTGTACTAAATATTGGTTTTAGTGATCATTGTACATGTTGTATGGTATATTGTACTAGAAAATTAGCAAAATCTGTATATAATAAGCACAGTAATGTTCTGTGAAATCCTATAATAAAGATGAATTTATAGCTAAGCTTACTAAAGCAAAATGGGAAAGGTGATTCAGTGCCTCAGACATAAATGAGGCCTTGTCATTTTTTAAAGAAATTTTTATGGATATTCTTGACAGTGTTGCCCCTCTTAAAGAAGTTTGTATTAAACAAAGAACAGAACCATGGATGTCAGCCGAAATTTTGATAGATATTCAGCAGAGAGACAAATTTTTATCTGATTTTAAGATTTCTAAAAATCCTGAAGATTTCAAAAAGTTTAGTAAACTTAGAAATCATGTTCAACGATCATCCAAAACTGCAAAATCTGACTATTACAGCAGTGAAATTGAAGAAAATAGAAATAACCCAAAACAACTTTGGAAAAGTTTTAAAAATTTAGGATATCAAAAAAATCCTAAATCAAATCCTAATATAGTATTAAATATTGATGGGCAAAACTGTCACGATAACAAAAAAATATCAAATAATTTTAACGTTTTTTACAACTATAGCTGCAAAACTGGTAGAAAAACTACCAACTGCAAAGGGTTTATATAGTGCCACAACAAATATTGTTAGATCCTTTTATGTTCAGAGAAAGAAATCAGATATTTTTTTTAACCTAAAGCATGTAACAGAGGAATTTGTGTATTAAGAATTATGCAGTTTAAATATAAGTAAGAGCATGGCCTAGATGGTATTCCAGCAAGGTTTCTTAAGGATGCAGCCCCAATTCTGAAAATACCCATTACTTTCTTGATAAATTTATCTATATCTGAAGGTACGGTACCTGACGATCTGAAAATGGTTAAGGTCAAGCCCCTATTTAAGTAATAATGACAGACTTAAGCCTGAAAATTACAGGCCTGTTAGCATTTTAAGTATTGTTTCTAAAATTCTAGGAAAAGTTGCCTATAAGCAACTTGAAAAATTTTTGATTTCAAATAATTTATTATTTGAGTTTCAATCAGGATTTAGAAGTTCATATTCAACTGATTCTTGTCTCATTCACTTGATAGATGACATTAAAGCTCAAACAGCCAAAGGTCTTTTTACAGGCATGGTCCTATTAGACCTACAGAAGGCATTTGACACAATAGATCACAAGATATTATGTGACAAATTAGAATTAATTGGGGTTAGATCTATACCTTGGTTTGAGTCATATTTGACAAACAGAAATCAGGTTGTAAGTGTAAATGGGGTGATTTTAGAAGTGTGTAAAATTACATGTGGTGTCCCTCAAGGTAGCTTACTGGGTCCACTTTTGTTTCTGATCTATGTCAATGATGTTCAAACTAGCATCAACTCAGATTGTAAAGTTTTGATATATGCAGATGATACTGCAATTTTATTTTCCCATATAGACCTTGGGGTCATCTCGCATAAATTATCCAGAATTACGCCATGATTGGTTAACTGACAATAAATTGTCCCTACATTTGGGAAAGACGGAGAGTATAATTTTTGGTCCTGGTTGAAAACTTCGGTCCTTAATACCGGGTGATTTTGCTATCTCCTGTAATTGTATTAATATTGAATCCAAAACTTTTGTAAAATATTTGGGAATAATAATTGATCAGTTTCTAACTGGTGATTTTATTGTCAACTCTCTAGTGAAAAAAGTCAATCAAAAGCTTAAAATTTTATATAGAAACAAAGTGTGTCTAAATTTTCAATCTAGGAAAACATTGTGCTCTTCCCTGATTCAATGTCATTTTGACTATGCATGTGCATGCTGGTATGAAGGTATATCAAAACAAATGAAGAATAAACTTCAAGTGTCACAAAATAAGATTGTGAGATTTATTCTGCAATTACATCCCAGAAAGAGTGTGACATATATTGAATTTTAGAAATTGGGCTTTTTAAATATCAGTAATAGAGTCAAACAACTAAGACTCAATCATGTTTTCAACATTTTTAACAATATTTATATATGCCCAAATTATTTACATACTAATTTTGTTAAAAATGAAACATCTTTCAATACAAGATCTAGAAGTAAAAACTTTTATATACCAGGAATTAAAGGGTGTGAATCCACCACTTTCTTTTATAATGGAATAAAAGACCGGAATTCGTTACCAGACATTGATTAATAGTTGCTGTAAAAAATATAATTTTAAAGTACAAGTGAAAAAGTTTTTGATGGAACAATTTAAATCCATCTTTAATAGTGAATTTGTTTTTTTTATTAATTATACTGGGGCTTTGACCATATATCTGTGATAAATTCTAAATGATTTGTGCTTGTATTTTCTATGTGTCAACCCTTGGTGTAAACTGGAAGTCTCGTTATAAAAGGACCCAGAGTTCGTGAAAACCTTTTTTGACCCGTCAGTCATGGGACTGACAAAGCAAAATTATATGTCAGTCCTACAAAATTTTTGCCGGTCCCACAAAATCTGTCAATTCTATCTTGAAATAAAATTAATAACATATTTTATCGAAAAATAACTTTATTTGGCAAATTAACAATGAAGGACCAGTTCTGGTCTTCTGATTGTTCTTAAATTCAAAGTCATCTTCACAGTCCATTTCATCATCTGAATCATTTCTCAGTTGTGACAGTAATTGTTGGCTTCATCGGAAGGTTCTACTGCCGATTGTTTGCCAGGCATGGCTTAATGAACAAATTTAATAGGCCACGTGTGGCTCGCCACTTTGATTTGTTTATAATAAAATTCGGAAACCAGTACCAGAAATTAGCAATGGGTACATCTGATGACCAATGTTAAAAACGTACTGGAAATAGTCGCAGGTACATCTAATTACCGATGTAAAAATGTGCCGACATAGGCACTGCAATGGCCCTTTTTTACATCGGTCATCGGGACCGCCACTAGCCTTCAAATTACTGATCTGAGCCTCATTTTGGCGGTCAGGACCGGATGATTTTCGCGACCTCTGACTGGACCCCACTGGAAATAATTTTTAATAACTTTTGTGGGTCATCCTAAGATATTAGGCTACAGTGAAAATCTAGTCAATTTAAAATTCACTCACTATTTAATCTAGTCTATTCATATTATCAAAATATCATGAAAATTTTCATAATTTTATTTTTTAAATTAAAATTTTTAGCAGTCAGGGGACTTATTGAAATAAGTGATTTTTAAATCACTTATTTAAGTAGCAAATTCGAAGTTTTGTCACAAATTGTGATTTTGTAGTTTTACCAAAATTTTAAATACATAGGTTTAGATAATATCTTTTCATTAGTAAAATTGAAAAAAATGAACTTTTTGCTTCTTTTAAGCAGCAAGGTTTATGCCTTTGATGCAATCATTTGGCTGCAAATTCTGTTTTAGTTGAAAAAATGCTATAAAAATGGCTTTACATAATGAACTGATACTTTCTTAACAGTTTTTTCCCAGCAGTGGGAGTATTTTTCCTGTAAAATTCAAGGTTTCATCTTAAAGATTATGTAATAAAATTCTACTGTTCGCGATCAAAATTTCACTGTTCGGGAGTGTTGAAATTAGTGGGGGTTATTAAAATAATGATACTTAAAGAAGTGATTTTTTGGAAGGAAATTGAGGTATGATACTTAAACAAGTGATTTTTATGTCATTATCCTAGATTTAGTACAAGGTCATCACCTGACATGACCCGGTCATCCTATCAACACAGATGTTGGTTCTGATAACATAATTAGTCCCTGGATCATTGGTATTCTATATTTAAAGCTACAATAAAATTAAATCACTTAGTCTAGATATTGATTTGTACTACTTAAATAGGTGATTATTAAAGAAAGACAACTCTTACTTCTAACCTTTATGGACATAATGTTACTTGAATCAGTGATTTAGAAAATCACTCTTGTAAGTAAGTTCCCGGACTGTTTAGTAAACATGTATATCATTTTAGTGTCTATAAACTATGTCTAGTGCTATATCTGTGTCTTTGTAATATTTTGTATCTGTCAAATTCATGCCTTTTTATCTTGAATAAATATATATATACACATGTAAGGAAACAAGAGAAGCTAACACAGATGCAGAATTGATGGAAGCAAATCAATGTACACTTCTAAAGGAAAGACATTCCCATTTAAGCAGAAATTCCTATGAAAGGGATAAATTTAATGCGCTGAACGTTACCAGCATTGACATTAATATCTAATGCTAGGAAAAAGGGACGGATGGCTGCGATATTTGTGGATTAGAAAAATCTTACATTGTTGGGGGTAGACGATCTGACGCTGTTACACTTTGAAAGCTCCTTTTTCATTGGACGAAAAAACAAGCCTTTCAATTTCCTGCCAATGAGAGTTCATGTTACTTTACGGAATAAAAAATGGCAGCCTCCATGAGCTCAATGGATACTAAAGTTATTTTGCATGAAATTTCATGTCAATTTTTTGAAATGGTGCCGATCAGGCGAATAAAATGGAGAGTTAGTAGTCATATTGTTTGTTTGTCGTCAATATAGTCATATATTTCCAAAACAAAAGGGTAGAATTTTCTGCCTGCCAACACAAAAATCAAAATTAAAAATAAGTTATATTATTAATAAACATGATAAAAGAATCTCTAGATAAATACGTATTTGTATTCGGAGGTTGAAACTGTGTTGGCTGCTGGTATGGGTGCTCGATAGGGATCTGTCTTCAAAACTAGTCATGCAGTTGATGGGTCCATAGCCTGGCATAGGCGGTATCGGGTCCGTTCGCGCCCAATACACGTTCGCACCCTACACGTTCGCACCCCACACGTTCGCCCCCTAGGTCCGTTCGCACCCTACACGTTCGCACCCTTTTTTTATTCAAAAACCTGATAATTTTTTAGATGTTTTGTAGATGTTTATATCAAAATATTTTTATTTTCATAAATAAAAATTCGGGAATTTTTAAATGAAATATAGTTTTAAATTGATTTGATGAATAAATATTAAATGTTAATTATGTATGATTACTGCTTATTGGTATTTATTCACAGCCTAATTTGGTGTTATTGTTGAGTGTTTGAAAATCATGATTGTTGTCATGGTTGTTTTAACTTGCGTTGATGTAAATACTGCATGTATTTAGCTTGGTATGAGTAAAACTTTGAAGATTTAAAAAAAAAAACATGAAAGATAATTGTTTTTAACTGCTTGGCTCCTTTGATCTCACGTGTGTCAGAATCCCACTTTATTCATAAACAATGAAAAAAACTATTTATAGCAATACACTATCCAAACATGATTAAAAATTATTCAACACAAAAATAAAATACTGGTCGTCAGAATCTCACTTTATTTTAAAACAATGAAAAAAATGTTTATAGCAATATATTTACCATGACACAAAAAAAACCTTGTCAGAATCTCACTTTATTTAGAAACAATGAAAAAATATATATTTATAGCAATACACTTACCAAAACTCGTTTACAAATTATTAAAAACAAAACCAATAAAAAATGGGCGCGAACGTGTAGGGTGCGAACGGACTTCGGGTGCGAACGTGTAGGGTGCGAAAGTGAAAGGGGGCGAACGTGCATGGGGGCGAACGTGCATGGGGGCGAACGTGATTGGGCGCGAACGGACCTGGATTCGGCATAGGCATAGGTCCTCAGATGCCCAAAATAAATACATGTACATGTAGATAACAAATCCGACTTTAAGTTTAACCCTTTGACCAACCTAGGGACATATAAATTCCTTGTCGTAACACATTTCTCATGTAAAACAATGAAAAGGGTCGTTTCCCAGACAAACTTGAGAATAATTACTCAAACTTGACGTGCTTGTACTAATTATGACTACTGGTAACATTGGTGATATGAAGAGCATCTAAAGTGGTGGAGGAAGGGGAAATATTCATTTACTCAAGCTGTTAGAGCGCTGGCTTTAGATCTGGAGGTTGAGGGTTAGAATTCCATTGGTACCAATTATGTATTTCCAGAATACATATGTAGATAGTTGCAATAGGTTATATTCCCTGTTTTTTAGAACAAAAATACATGTATGTATGTGTAAGTGAGTTGTCTTTTTTTCTTTTTGCTGAATGTTGCAGGAGTATGTACATTAGATGTCCCTAGTCCTATAATATATGAACTCGGGGGCATTATTTTCTATTTCTGTTTTCTTTTTACTGATTTTGCTATTTTTCTTCTTTTTTTTTTTTTTATTATCAATGTGCCTTAAAAAAAAAAAAATGAAAATATCAGCATGAAAACGTTAAATAGTGAATATATAATGCGAAGGCATATATTATAGGACTATAGATGTCCCTTGATTTAATGGCTAGTAATAAACATGATAAAGTTCTGGTGTTACTCTGTAGTTTTAAACTAATTAAGGTACATTTACATTCATGTTATAGTGATTTCATGGTCAACTTAGAAAATGAGCAATTTTACTTTATTGTTCTTTGCACTCACTCAAATATAAACATGATAAACACTATATACATCAATTTATGTAGTGGGATATCATCATTGATTTTTTTATGATTTTGATAATAGTCATAATAGGTCATAATATTCCATTTACTTTAACATGTTTAAGATGTAAGTTACTATTAGATGAAAAAAAAGCATTTAGATGTTGAGCAAACATCAATCAATACATGCAATAAATCATCATACATTGAAAAAGTATTATATATATAGCAACCTTTTTATATCTTTTTTTTTCAGACAGAGCTTATTACAAGTGCACAGATTGGTCCAGAGGAACAGAAGGCTGTTCTCAATGCCACAGTTTTAAATGATCTTTGCAAAAAATATCCTCCATCAGTTTCCTACCAAAAAGCTTTCATGAAGACACTACTTCACAAGGTTTGCTTAACAATCATAAGCTTATTCAGTTATTGTTTAAATACACTGCATTTTGGTTTGATTTTGTCATGTCCAGCTGAACTGATAATTGGTAGCCTACTTATGCCCACTCATGTTTAACCTCAGATTTTATGAAATTATTTTTTCACAATAGTGTATAAATCACTATGAAACAGGGATATTGAGATTAAAAATACTCTAATTCTGATGAAATATGCAGTAAAATATTTTAAACTTAATCAAACTCTACCGTAATTATAAAGAATGAGAAAAATCATTACTGAGAGTGATTTTTACTAAATCATTTTGTGTGCACTGTATATTGGATCTTTTCATGCCAAGATTTTTGGTATATTGTAATCTTGAGTTATCTCAATATATATTGGGAATAAAAGATGTTATATATGTGAATGAGTCAGCAACCCAAATTGGGCAATGACACTTAAAATCATCAATACAAATTTTAAAAGTTGGTATCTAATTTTCTAAGCTCTCCAGTGCTCTCATGGCATGTTTACTTTGGGTGTAAGAGGTTGTCAGGTCGAACAATGGAATATCTACAAATGTACCTTTTACATGTTTTAGCTTGGCATGAATCATTTAGGAATAAGAACAAATACTTGTCGACTCAGAGTCACAAATTCACTGACTGACACAACAATTTTTACTGGTAGACTTTAGAGAGACATGTTTTCTTAAGAGTTAACATTTTTTTTTCAAGATTACTTTATTTAAAACAGGTGAAACAATTCTGCTAAATAAGAATTATCAAGATCTACAAAACAAAAAGATTTTTTAACCAAGTAGCAAGTATAATTAATATCTCGTTCAACATTTCTAAAGAGAGCTTCCAGCAGCTGATTAGAATAAAACATTCATTTCATATGTAAGAAAATGATTTAATGTAATTATTTACATATATCTGGATATGCTACTTTTTTGTAAACAAGTCAGATTGTCTGGTTCTCAGCGTTAATAGTGTTACATTCTCAATTTTATTTCAATTATGTTTTTGGTACACTAGCATTTTGATACGTATCTTATTAATTTCAGTTAGAGGAAAGTGAAGTTGAAATGTGTGATGAAATCTACGAGGTGTACACAGACCTTTTACAACAGACTGAAGATGAAGATGACATCCTTTGTTACAAAACTTATCATCTGGTAAAATTGTTAAATGTGCTTTCTAATCAGGGATATCCCTGAAAATCCCATTTGAACCTGAGGTTAAACAAACAGCTGCAACAGCATCTCATTAGATAATTTTATGTGAAAATTAATATATTTTTTCATGATGATTTAAAATAATTTGATGAAGAAGCTGATGAACCTTATCTAGGTGAATACCTGAACCTTATCTAGGTGAATACCTGAACCTTATCTAGGTGAATACCTGAACCTTATCTAGGCGAATACCTGAACCTTATCTAGGCGAATACCTGAATCTTATCTAGGCGAATACCTGAATCTTATCTAGGCGAATACCTGAATCTTATCTAGGCGAATACCTGAACCTTATCTAGGCGAATACCTGAATCTTATCTAGGCGAATACCTGAACCTTATCTAGGCGAATACCTGAATCTTATCTAGGCGAATACCTGAATCTTATCTAGGCGAATACCTGAACCTTATCTAGGTGAATACCTGAATCTTATCTAGGTGAATACCTGAACCTTATCTAGGTGAATACCTGAACCTTATCTAGGTGAATACCTGAATCTTATCTAGGCGAATACCTGAATCTTATCTAGGCGAATACCTGAATCTTATCTAGGCGAATACCTGAACCTTATCTAGGTGAATCTTATCTAGGTGAATACCTGAACCTTATTATTAACTATGTTAAAATATAACAGATAAAGGAGGCAGATCAGTCTAACTTTAAAATCATAATCTTATGTTTAAAGATTAGTTATTGATCTCCTTGTCTGAAATAGGTTACTTCTGGGCTAAAATAGGCTACTATGAAGTAGATACTTTTTTTGTGCTTGAGTACTGATTTGATGAATCAAACCCTTTTCAACTATACATTGTATTTTTAAATAGTCATTTCCCATTAGAACAAATTTTCCAATAAAAAAATTACATTAATTCATTATTATGTAATTATACATGTATAAGTCATCTTGCCTATCATATTTTATTCATAAAAATAATAAGAGTAAAATTAAATATTGGCGTTCTTTTTATATCCCATAATTATTCCTCAATACTTCTTTAATCCAGAGTATGTTAACATGATGATTGCAAAAGAATCCACACTAATCATGACATTTAACATATTTAATCAGATACCAAAAGCAGTCCAACATTTGATTCCAGAAAAAATAAAAAGCCTAAAAAAGTTGTGTGATTTTCAGTTTGTCTTATCTCTCTTTGCCAGGCTGTTTCCATTTTTATTCGTTCCTGTACTAAAAATCTTTTTCTTATTGCAGCCAAACAGTGAAACAGTAAGCCTACAGGAATCAATACACCTCATATCCCAAGGAACGACTGGACTTAATACATGGCAGGTATGTCAGAGAGAGGCATTATGGGAAAAAACAGTATTTTGATGAAGGAAAAATGAGTACCACTTTTATGAAGAAATACTGTAAAATCAGAAATTATTGCGATATTTTAATTAATGTGAAACATGCAACAGTATTAGGTTTGCTATAATATAAAACTGCATTCATATATAATTACAGTAAGGAAAAGTAAAATAACAAAAATATCGAACTCCATGGAAAATTCAAAACGAAAAGTCCAATATCAAATGGCAAAATCAAAACCTCAAACACATCAAACGAATGGCAAACAACTGTCATATTCCTGGTACAGGCATTTCCTTATGTAGAAAAAGGTGGATTAAACCTGGTATTATAGCTAGCTAAACTCACTTGTATGACAGTCGTGTCATTTTCCTTCATAAAATTTTTGCAATCACATTTATAATTATATTTTGCATTTTTGCCAGAGGTTATCTTAGGATTCCCAATAATAAATGAAAGCATTAATTTCTGAACATGAATCAAGAGATGTACTGTCATGTCTGTAAACTACCTTTAATCCTGATGTTACAACCCAAACATTAAGTCTCCTAAGGAGAAAAAAGAAGATAAAATAATCCAACAATTCTACACTGCCATGATGCATTGCAACTAATCTAGAGGCTAACATACAGTCTTCAATAATGAACAGGTGTCTATGCAATATGGCAAGCTCTAAATCAATCTGAGTCTATAAAAGTTGTGTATTAAAGAGAAGAGTCAAAGATATATCATTTAAAATTGAATTCTCAAAAAAAAAAATACGTAAAAGATATGACCTAAATGTATGACAACGCTTAGGTCCGTAATTTGGAAAGGCACATGAAAATGTGGCATGTTAAACAAGTTTTACGAGATCTCAACCTTCCCATTTTTAATCTTGATCAGTAGATTGACAAAACGTATATAAAAAGAACTTATAATAAAAACAGTAGAGAAACTATTTTTATGTTTTAATACAGTATACACAATGTAATTTAGTTTGAAATCGCCTTTTTGTTGTGGATTATCACAGTGATAAAATCATTTTTGTGGTGAATTTCCACAGGGATAAAATTCCTTTCTGTTGTGAAGATTTTCATAGTGATTAATCACTTTTTGTGGTAAATTTTCACTGTTATAAAATTACTTTTTGTGGGGGATTATCACAGTGAATGCTTCTGATGATAGATGATTTCTCTGACAAAACTTTCTGCTTATACCACTGGGTCATTAATCGGGGATTTCATAGTGATTGATTGTTGTTTGTTAACATCCAGTGGTAAATATTGCATGCATCTTTAGAACGAGAACAAATAAACATACATTCAATGGGTTGGCTCTTCAAAGTGGGTCGACCAGGATGAAAATTGGGAAATTTTGACTGCCACTTGAAATTGAGGGCATGTTCAATAGGGGCAGACATTTTGCCTTGCAACAGGCCATCTACAGACTTTTCAAAGAGTTGTTGCATGGGAGTTGTTGCAAGGTTTTTTAATGTGCTGAAAGTGTGGCAATTCCTTTCATGTGGCATCGGGCTAAGCATCCCCATTGGGACATATATATATATATATCCCACACAGCCAAACAAATCTCCCTTGCGAAGGAGTTGAACCCCTCAGATAAAGGAACTCGGAACAATTTTTATACCCTGAGGAATCTATGGGTTGTTTCCCATTGATTCACTCAACAGAAGCAAGATTGATTGTAACTGATAAACTGAATGACCTTGTGTGGTCTGTGTAATGTTTAGATAACTTTGATATTTATAGGCTGCCTTACACCTAGCAGAATGGGCATTTGAGAACAGTGACTTGTTAGAAAACAGGTAAGGATTCTGTTGATTTTGTAGAGTAGTTAAAGACTAACAGTAACAGTGGATTCATGATTACACACTAAGTTCTAATTTTCTTGAAATTTCTGCATATACATGTAGGTATATCTTGAATCTAAGTATTTAACAAAAGACAAATTTTCTTTAGACAACAGTATGCAGAATTGGACAAGACCAAGAAATCAAATAATTACGAAAATACTGTTTTTCCTCATTCCATGAAAAATTGGTAGTCACGACAATAAAACAAATCAAAGTTATTTATTTCTATACAACATTACAGACATAAATTGACATAAAATTTGAAATGACTTCCTATGATATCATTTGTCGGTAAAACAGTTGTACCACAAAAAATATACACAATCAGACTTATTCTAGTTATATGTAGTTTATGGTCGGGTTGTTGTCTCTTTGACACATTCCCCATTTCCATTCTCAATTTTATAGTTCACCTTCATATATATGACAAATTGAACATTTTTAGACTGTCATCCACAAGTCACATACCTTTTTACGGTAAATCTTGAGATCAGTTTCAGTTGACCCTTCTTCTGTCCTCCAATTTATCAGGTATCATCCTGTACCTAGGAGATAACAGTATTGCATTAGAAGATTTGCAGGCATCAACTGGCTATTTGATGGTTATAAATTGAGATGACTGGTGACACGTTAACAGAGCCAGTAAACCAATATTTGCAACCATGAAATCAAAAAGTGATGCCTTTTAATACTCAAATATAATAGTTTTTATTGCATTTTTATGCAACCTAAAATCAATCACACAACGTCTGCACATGTGCACTCAATTTCAGACCTTCAATTGTGAAATAAATGTCCTGAAATTTGTGGCGTTATATCCATTCTAGTTGAATGATATATGAAAAAATGTTGCATAATTAGAAATCCGAAATTTGGCATCACAGTGTGTATAGATTTATCATAATATATAACATGTATAAGTTTTAAAAAAAGCCTATAACTTAAGTTAAAAAGAGTAGCCGGATTTAAAAAAAAAAATTATTAAAACTGAAAACTTATATTTAATCAAAATGATCATTCACATTGATTTTAAAAGACCAGTATGATTGTGTTTTGAATGCATCTATCAAAAGGAAGTTGTTAAAGAAGGCATTCTTTATTAAGTTTTAATTGTTATCATACTGTGAAGTTTTGGCATTCAGGTAGCTTGTATTCCAATGATATATTCCATGATAAAATAACACAAAAAGGTTCCACATTCCCTTGAAATTATATTAAAAGATGATGTAAAGTTTAATATTTGGAAGTGTGCATTTATTCTAGGAAGGTTTTAGAGCTTGGAAGTGGACTTGGTCTTACTGGAATAGCTATTTGTAAACAGTGTAAATTAAGATCGCTGACATTTTCAGACTGCCATCCACAAGTCTTATACCTTTTGATGGTAAATCTAGAGATCAATTTCAATTCTGATCCTAATTCTTGTGCTATTAAAGCCATCCTACCAGAAAATCAGACTGTCACATCAAAAAGACGGAAAATGATTCGAAGCATTAGACGTCAGCTCAGTGTGAAACAAGATATTGGTATGGAACAGTCGGACATTATGGAAATAAGTTGTACATCTTCTGCCTCAGCAGACGACTTAGAGGAAGAATCTGACGAGGATTTAGACATTGATATTTTTACGCCAAATGAGGAATTCTGGGAAGAAGGAGACTATGCGGAAAGTTATAAACTTTGTTGTGACAAGAGAATAAGTCTTTTACAATTAGACTGGAGTAAAGGCAGTCATGATTTTCTAGACAAACTAGCACCTGATATAATATTAGCAGCAGGTATATATGAATATATAATTTTGATTACACGTCCAAGTTTTCTCCTGTTTTGAAGCGAGTATAAATTTTATATTTTACTGTGATGTCTGTTTATTGTTTTATCCTGCAATTCAACATTGACGCTAAAATGTTAAGTTGTTTTTAAAATCCCTAGTTGTTCAGTGAAAGAATCAATTAAGTAGAATTTCCAGGGACTACATTTGCATATAAATGTATTTGTTCAAATGGTTATGTCCAATTTTCAACAAAAAACCTGTCCACAGAAAGCAGAGCCTTCAGATTATTGATTGTAAAGCTTCTATATGACAGGGGAGTTAACAGACTCATATGTACTCAAAACCACAAGAAAAAAAGTGAGAAAGGTATAAGATTAGAAGAATGTTTGAACAAATAAATGAGTAAATGAGCAAAATTTCGATTTTATTTGTTTACATTCATGTTCTGTTTTTGCCATGCCTTGACTCCTGCCTTGACGGAGTCAAAAAGCGAGACATAGGTATGCTGTTTCCGCATCAATGGCATCGGCGTCAACAATGTATGAGTTTATGATTAGGTCAGTTTTGTGGGGAACCACTAGTGGTAGGTCAATGATATTTGGTATGCAGTTGTATTAGCATAGGTACATCTCATTTTCATGGAGATTATTTGGCCCTGCCCCCTCAGTCATGGTCTATTGACTTTGAAAATTTTGCTTTGTTTACATGTATTAGTTTGTGATTAGGTCAGTTTATGGGGAACCACTAGTTGTAGGTCAATGATATTTGTTATGCAGTTGTATAAGCATTGGCATACCTCATTTCCATGGAGATTATTTGGCTCTGCCCCCTTAGTCATGGTCTATTGACTTTGAAAATTTTGCTTAGTTTACATGTATTAGTTTGTGATTAGGTCAGTTCAAGGGGAACCATTAGTGGTAGGCCAATGTTAATTGGTTTTCAGTTGTATAAGCATTAGCACATCTCATTTTCATGGAGATTTTTTAGCCATGTACCTTCAGACATGGTTCATCGACTTTGAATATTTGCATAACTTACATGTTAAAGTATTGCTATTTTTATTTCAACATTTGCATTATCAAAATTGCAAAAAGGCGAGACATATCTCTGTGATAACAGTTTATTTGTGTATTTTCAGGTGTTTTTTTTTTTGCGTATTTGCAGGTGATGTTTATTTGTGTATTTTCAGTGGTTGTTATTTGCATATTTGCAGGTGTTGTTTGTTTGTGTATTTTCAGTGGTTGTTATTTGCGTATTTGCAGGTGATGTTTATTTGTGTATTTTCAGTGGTTGTTATTTGCATATTTGCAGGTGTTGTTTGTTTGTGTATTTTCAGTGGTTGTTATTTGCGTATTTGCAGGTGATGTTTATTTGTGTATTTTCAGTGGTTGTTATTTGCGTATTTGCAGGTGATGTTTATTTGTGTATTTTCAGTGGTTGTTATTTGCGTATTTGCAGGTGTTGTTTGTTTGTGTATTTTCAGTGGTTGTTATTTGCGTATTTGCAGGTGATGTTTATTTGTGTATTTTCAGTGGTTGTTATTTGTGTATTTTCAGGTGTTGTTTATTAGTGTATTTTCAGATCTTGTTTATTTGTGTATTTTCAGATGTTGTATATGACAAGGAAGTGATTCCGTCTTTAGTTAGAGTATTGCTCAAAGTATTGAAACCAAAGAAAAATATTGTACCTGTAGCTTATATAGCATCTACAGTAAGAAATGAAGACACTAGAGATTTCTTTCTTATAAATCTTGGTAAGAAGTACATCTGTACTTAATACATTGTAGTTCAACTTAATAGCATTTGAACTCTTTCTACAAGACCCTAAAAATTAAATTATGATTGTAACTTCCACACATCAGTCTACATGGTCTAAATCTGAATGACCACATTGATCACATCGTAGCATGACTGCAAGTCTCCAGGGCAGGAATGTTTGGGTCAAGCCAAAGACTTAAAGTTTAGTATATGCTGCTCTAAGCTTTAAAGCAGCGAAAGACTGGATATGAAACAAGTTATTATCCACGAAAAATAAATGAATCCACAGTATACAATATGGGACATTGTCAAAAATACCTTTTTGTCCGTTTTTCACTCATTTTAGTTATAGAAAAAAAAATATTTCTGTCATTTTTTACTTCATGTACTTGGATATATTTCTTATTTAAAATATTTTGTTATTCTCCAATGCAAATGCACTTGCCCTGTCAAATACAATGTATTGTCCAAAAAAAACACAAATGTTCTAAAATAACAAAAAATGAAAAAGTAGTTTTTTTATTATATTTACAATTCTAATATATTTCACAGTGTCAGAATTAAGTTTTATTTTCATTTTTTTTACAGCCAATGAAGGATTAGCCTATGAGATAGTAGAACCACCAAAAGCGAAAACATTCCATTATGATGATATCATTCCAATAGAAATACTCAGAATTCATTATTCAGGGACATAGAAATAAGTAGAGGAATAGAGTAAAGGCTTGAGGCTGTTATCATTTCAATGCATTTTACATAAGATCGATATTCCAGAAAAAAATATATCAGAGGTTACAAGGCTTCTTATAAATGATTCAAGGGCAATAGAGTAAACTATCATGATCTCCAATTCAAAGCACATATTTACAAATGAAAATTTTGAAGTGGTGTGCAAGAGACAAAGTGGTTCATACTTTTTGTTTGTAAGTTAGAGAAAAAGTGCCATGCAACCTCTTATCTATAAATTTCAGGAATAATTCTATTTTGCTTCCATGCTAGAAAACTTTCATCATATTGTGTCGAGCAGCTGATATTTTACGATATCTATATATAGAAAATCCAGTAATCTGTTTATTGTTCTATAAATGATCCTCTCCATCAGACAGTTTTACGCTTGATGAAACCAAGCTTAAAAACATCTCCTCACACATTGTGACATCGCTAATTACTTCTCCTCAGATATTGTGACGTCGCTGATAATGCCTGCTCACATCTCAAAGCTGTGATAAGAGAATTACTCAGTGACTGAGCAGGGTGATATAGGCCAAGGGACGGATGATTATTGATTTAGATATAAAATCATTGTCTTTAAAGTTATTGATTTAAAATTAAACTATTGTCTTTTGAATTATAGATTTTTGATTGTTCCGCATGAGAGGGTGATATTAAGAAAATTGTCACTCACCCTCATATTAACCAAACTGGTATTTTAACATGTGGTACAAATGTATAATAATAATTTGAAATTAAAGGCAACCACTGACAAGATTCCTCTCTTGGGACAGGCACATAAACATGTAGGCAGGTTTAACTAGTGTTTTAGCACTCAACCCTACCATTGTTAATTCCAATTACTGGGAAAAAAAACAGAGGGTTCATAATAGAAAATAAGTCTTTGGTTGTACAATAAGTAAATATTTTGTGTAGTAATTAAAAAGGGCAAAATTGTAAAAAATATGGTGATGTAAAATCTTTGGTGGATTTTTGATTTTTTAACTAAAACAAGTTTACAGTTATTTTTTTTTACCAGTATTACCTGTATTATCACTTACTAAGGTTGAAGGTAAATTGATAGATATATACACACATTATCATAGTATACTACAACTTTTTTTCGATAGTATTCAGCCATTGTTATCTATTCTTATGCAAAACTATACACTTGCATTAGGTAAAAAAATACACATCTTACATTGCTTTGAAAAACAATTGTAAACATAAATTGTTAATCAACATAAGATTATTTACATTGAGTATATATGTTTTAAATTGTCACAAAAGCAAGAGTTTTAAAATATTTGTCTAAAATTTATCACACAACAGTGTGGATATTGACACTAAAAAATGGAAAATATCACCTTCTTTTCTGTGTAAACAATATACTGTGGATTCATTATTATTCGTTGGTTACCAATTTTCGGGGATTTCGTGGGTACAAGGAAACAACGAATTTAAATGTTCAACGAAATGCAAATTGTTTAAAGGAATGCATGTGAACCTTGTCAAAACCACGAATTTGAATATCTATGAATATGCAAGTTTTCCTCTATCCACGAAAATTGGTACCCACGGAAATAAATGAATCCACAGTAATGGAAACTATTTTCTGCACTTGTTTATACACACTACTGTACAAGGCTTTATATTCTTGAATAAACATCGTTTGTGGATATTGTGAATTAAATGATATACATCAAATAGACATCAACTAAACAACACAAACAAAATAGGTCTGCAAACAATCTCCAACAATAAAAAAGTGTCCATACAGTATATCTATCTGTAAATTGTTTTGAGGGGAGATAATTTGTGAATAAATTTCATCAAAACCAAAATGATAATCACATGAATCTCGATCTTTTTGTGGTTAAAATGAAAAAAAATATACATTGTACCTAAAACTGAAGGAAGGGAAATTGATACATTGATAGCTTTTGGTTAATTAAGGATTATTATCTTTACTGGGTGGAAAATACATGAAAAAAGAGTGAATGTCCCCTTGTTGATTTTAGTGTCAGAGAATTGTAATACATAAATTGAATAAGGACTATGTATTTTTTTGAAATATTCAGTAAATGCGAATAAGATAGTTTATTTCATGAGGGCTTACATGTGTTCAGGAATTTTTCATTTTAAGATAAATTTGTTGTAGAAGACATGGCTCATGCATGTATAAATCTAGTTCATCAATGCAATATTAGTTCACTTATTTGTTTTTGTTAGCAGATTGTCATATTGTCATTATAATTTCTGTATAACCCTCTGTAGAAACGCACTACAGCTCAGCACCAGCTACAGCACAACCTGTCCACAATGAGCTGGCTCCTCCTGCTGGCTTTTATTTAACCTCAGAGTTTTGTAAAAAATGGGAGTACAAAAGCGTAACAAATTTTTCCAAGATGGCAAGTTGGAAATGACTTTAGTCATCTAAGCTATAATGTAATGTATGGCTTCTGATAAAGCCATCATTGCTTATACTTTTGTTAAGTGTAATAAACTGTTTGATTGGTAAGGGTATGAAGTGGATTTTATTATGTTATATTGTAAAAAAAACTTCTGTTTTTATCACTTGAAAATATTTTATTTTAAAAGATATAGCAAACTCATTGTACATGCCAAACAGTTGACCTAGCAACGATATTTGAACGAAACCTTTGTTGTATTATTTTTTATCCATCCCTAAATGTTTGTACTAAAATGTATTTTTATTCCATTTTTCATTAGAATTTTGGTGACGTTCTTAGACTAGTTCAAGAACACAAATTCCTACAATATATGTAAAAGCTAAAAGACTTTTAAAAATATTATTTGCCAAGCATCTAAAAGTTTACTGTTTGTCTGACATTTGGTGAAAAAGTAATGTTTGATTACTTGAAAGCATTTTATTATTGTCTTTTCTGTTCTGAAGCTTGCAATGTTTTTATTTCAAAACAGTTCAAAAAGGAAAAATTTTGATACACATTGCACTTGTTAAGTGACATCTACACAGATGATGCCATCACAAACAAAGATGATCTCACAACATAGAAAAACCAGCAATAGATAGATTTTGATATAACATAATTTGAGTTGGAGCCATTTCCTTTGGCCGCCATGTTGAAGGTGAAACATGTTGATTTTCTTATTTGACTACCGGTAATCAAATTCAAACATGTAATACAAACAAGTGTTAGAACAGATCCTGTCTATAATGGATTGTTGTCATGAAATATATGAGACTAAAACAAGTTAAAATTGTTTGGAAATCAACTTTAGATAAGTCTAGGGGTCAGTTTAACAAGTTGAATATGGATAATTTATGGAATAAATGGAAATAATTTGTACTCGAGTTACATCAGTTAAAAACTATCTATACACATGTTCATAATGAAATTGTGTTTTAATTGATTGAGAAATTAAAAAGAAATTATGTTATCAGAGCAGATCAATATTTTATAACTTGTTGAAAATTTGATGAGCAGTACACTATTGTGTTGTTCTTTGTTGTAATTACAGAACTTTCCATGAAAAACAAAGATTTTTCTAATTTACTTGGAACATGCAGTAAACACCTTTTTGTGACTTTTGAACATTAAAATGTATAATTTAACCACAGACTTTATAAAAAATTTACAAAAAAAACCCCAAAAACCAATATGTCCCATTGCTCATGGAAAGGTATTCTGTTACCAACAGAACTATTGCAGCACTGGTACCAGGCTAAAATTATAAACAAAATTCAGAAAAAAGGCTTAACATTTAAAGTAATATAAAAGCTTACAGATTTGTATATTGATAGTCAATCAGATTATTAATTTTTTTTTATTGTTATATATAGAGAATTTATAGATTACCGTATTTATATGGCTTTTAGTGAAAAAAGAATTATAATGCACTATTAAATTTTTATATATTTATTTATAGAGAATTATATTTTGAAATTTAGCTCATTTAATTTTAGCATAAGGTTGTGTTTTAATGTAAATGTAGATTGTATGTTACGAAATCTAGCGAGAAAAAAGTAAAATGCTGTAGAAGTGTTTTCATATTTTGTGATGTAGAAACTCCTTTTGTTTATGAAATATTGTAAGACAACTAATTTTCATGTGTTATTTATATAAGTGACGTTGCCTTGTGTGACAGCAAACCAAAAATTAAAAAAACCTAGACATTCAGACCCAAAATGAAATGAAAATAATGCAAAATATTATCTGTAAAAAGATATATTAGTTTAAACATTGTATTCTTGTCTGATGACCTAGGTCAATTACTAAGGGTAATCCTATTGGTCAGTTAGCTGTTGTGATGTTATATTGAAATTATATATAAGTAAACTATCACTGGTTGTTCTCAACCACCTGTATACATGTGGTGTTGGGCACATTATTTCTGCTAAATTTTTTTTTGAGGTTGTGCAATTGTTACACTCATTACTTTTAGTTGATAATTGATATGTCAATGAACTGAAAAAAATGCAATTGAATTGTCTGTAAAGTATGTTTATTTGCACCAAATTGTCAGGTTTGTTTTATAGAGTAGTACTTAATAAAGCGTATCTTACCTGCATTTTGAAGTAAATATATTATTTGTTAAATGACACAAGACCAATTTTCATTGAGTTATTTTCATACAGGTGCTCCAAGGCAAGGATGGGATTGGGACTTGTAAAGAGTGTATGCAAAAACTGTATTTGTCGCTCTATATCTGTCACTGGGTTAAATATGTCATTTGATATACAAATTTACAAACACAGTAAAATTTGCAATTAAAATCGTGTTCAACAGCTATGTGTAGCACAGAATAACATTTGATTTTATTGACACATGGACAAATGCATTCTTTAGAATCTTAAAAAGTTTTCATCAACAATTTAAATTTTCACCACATGAGTGAAACAAATTAAAGTGAAATTTTTCATGCCCTCTTTTTAATTTTTAAAGAGATTTAGGTCTGTGGAACATAATTATGATTGGTAAAGGTTGTTTTTGAGATTATGTTTTTTATATTCTTGTTAAAGATTTTGTTTTGTACTATTGTTGTATTTATAATGATTTGGTGCTTTACAAATAAAACATCGTTTGTACTCAGACTTATTTCTAATTGATTTATTGATTGATTGATGCTTAATGCCAGTGGCAAATATTTCAGTAACGTTGAGGAGAAGTACTGATTTCTGAGGAATCATTTCTAAGTTACATGAATATCTAAGGGGATGACCATTTTGTATTCAGGGAGGGAGCAGGAGCATTTTGAATATATGAAAACAAATGACATGACATTGCCTCTGGCAAAATGAATAATCTTTACAAAGGCAGGATGAAAATAAACATCCTAATCCATAAAATGTTGTGAACAGGTTTTTTTTTTAATGAAAAATGAAATATATACACACAAAAAAAAAATCATAAAGGGTGTCAAATGGTTGGTCCCTTGCTGTCTTATATATTGGACAGAGTAAAGTTCACCTGAAATAAAGTTTGCTACAAGGACTATAGCTAGAAAGTGTTATTTCATGTATTGGCATTATTTAAAGAAAGGAATAAAGATAGATTATGTCTTGATCTATGACTACAATTTCCAGTTATCCACACAGTCAACTTTTCAATAATATAACTTTTTACCATTTCCTAAATCCCAAGTGTTTATGCATCTCATTTGAAATGACCAGTGGGGTCAGGGTCGGGGTATTTCGTGAAATGATGTGCATTCTTACTTCAAAACTACTCATAAAGGATTATTAGAAAAAGAATGCAATTACTACTCTACTAGCTCTACAGTGGTTGGCAAAGGGGTCTCAACCTCTCAAAAAAATTTTCCCAGTACATTTGTTTGATTTTTGTCTCGCCTTGATGGAGTCAAAAAAACGAGGCATAGGTATGCTGTTTCAGGCGGTGGTGGTGTCTGCGGCATCAACAATGTGTTAGTTTGCAGTCATGGTCTATTGACTTTGAAACTTTGTTAGTTTACATGTATTAGTTTGTGATTAGGTCTAGTTTATGGTGAACTACTAATGGTAAGTCAATGATATTTGGTATGCAGTTGTATAAGCATTGGCATATATCATTTCCATGGAGATTTTTTGGTCCTTACCCCTCATAGTATTAGTTTGTGATAAGATCAGTTTAAGATGAACCACTAATGGTAGGTCAATGATATTTGGTATGCAGTTGTATAAGCATTGGCACATATCATTTTCATGGAGATTTTTTGGTCCTTACCCCTCATAGTATTAGTTTGTGATAAGATCAGTTTAAGATGAACCACTAATGGTAAGTCCATGATATTTGGTGTGCAAATGTATTGGCATTTGCAAGTTTCATTTCCATGGAGATTATATAGCCCCATTCCCTCATTATGGTTCATTGACTTTGAATCTTTTACATAGTTTACAAGTTAATGTTTGTGTTTAGGTTTGTTTAAAGGGAACGACTTATGATAAGTCAATGGTATTTGGTATGCAGCTGTATTAGCATTGGCACATCTCATTTCCATGGTGATTGTTTAGCCCTGTACCTTCAGTCATGGTTTATTGACTTTGAATACTTGCAAAACTTATATGTTAAAGTATTGCTATTTTAATTTCAACATTTGCATTATCAAAATAACAAATAGGCGAGACATATCTCTGTGTTAACAGTTTATTTACAGCCTGTCCTCTCTTGCAGGACCTTGATTTAGAAGAATACCTAAACAAACTCCGACATGTGACTGTTCCCACGTGCACTCACCTTATATTAACAGCCCCTTTGGCCATGTTATTACTGGGGATCTAAACATAATTCAACATGAACATCCCCGAAAGGTGATATCTCATTGTCTTAAGTTCAGAGAACCCACACACATCAATTGGAACCATAACTGCAAAATAATTGTGGATTCCAATAAGGACTACGCCAGAGCATAGATTAAACGAGAAGAAGTTGAACTGGACACTTTGACAGAATGGGTCAAAACAATCACCTCTGATAAAACGTCGAACTCATAAGTTGAAAAACTGTGTGAATGATCGCGACCAAAGTCCGTTTTCAGAGACAAAGAAGCTGTGAAATGTCTATCATCTCTTCACGATAAATATGTTGTTGTTGCCGGCTCATCTGCATGCATGTTCTACAAAGGAATTGTCCATTAGATTTAAAAAAAATTTCTGTCCACAGTGAAAGAGGGTCTTCAGAAATAATGTGAAACTGTTTACTCGCGTAGTGGTATTAACCATATGTGGATTCTAAAAAACTCTAAAGAACTTCTGGATAATTTTAAATCTCGATCTTTCTATGAAATTAATTCTATCAAAACTTTTGATTTTTCAAACCTGCATACCACCATTCCCCATCGTCCAAAAGAAATAATCCACAATGCTTTAATTTTCAATATAAAAATGGTAGCATGTCCTTCAGACACTTGTCAAAAACAAGAAGATTAAAGAAGCCATATCATTTAATTTCACATTCAGATATATTGATGATGTTCTTTCTATTAACAATCTAAACTTGTCTGATTGGCTTCCTCCGCCTAATTTTTAGACTTATACCTCGAATTTGACATAAGCGGTCATCTCAGTACCAGAATCTATGACAAACGAGACGATTTTAATTTTGAAATTATCAATTTCCCCCACCTTAGTAGCAATATACAAACTGATATACATTTCCCAACTCATTCGGTATTCAAGAGCTTACGGCTGCTACTCAGACTTTATAAAACGTCACCAGTGTCTGAGCAGAAAGTTGATGAACCAGGGTTATGTAAATGAACGTTTTGTCCTGTTTTTTAAAAAGTTCATCGGAAGATACCAAGACCTTGTTGATAAATATGCCGTATCAACTTTACAAGTAATACACGATGGTCTTAAAGTATAGATTCTAGGTACTGACGGTGTTTATCATTTTAATTACGTGTTATAGTGTTCGTTTATTTGTCGTTGTAAATTATTAACCTTTACTGTTTAGTCCATTTTTGGTAATATCCTTTTGGCGTGGATCGGAACTTATACGCCCCGCCATTGTGTTTATAATATTGTGCTATGGTCATTTTTTCGAGCCTGCAAAATTTATTTCGCGAAAGCGAGAACAAGCGATCCTAAATTATGTCGTCGGCGTAGGCGTCGTCAACATTTAGGTTCAGTCTGTGGTTAAAGTGTTTTAGACATCAATAACTTTGCCAAACCTACTTTGAATTTTATGACAGAAGCTTGTTTATTACCAAAATACAGTATCCATAGCAAAATTTTGAAAATATTTTTTTTCATTTTCCGTTTTTTACTCATAAATGGCCTTTTTTACAGTTAACATTCAGATTTAGTTTTTTACAGTTAACATTTACAGACAGTCTGGATTGCACTTTTTTGACATGATTAATTCATAAACCTTCATGGATTGTTATGAAACTTGGACAGAAACTAATCTCCAAGACCATGAAATATCACCTAAAGAAAAAGTTTGATATTTTTTTTAAATTCTGTATTTATTGATAAATGTACTAGTCACTTTTTAAGTCAACATTACACTTTTACACTGACAGCAGCAATCGCAGGCGAGACACAGAGTTCCACGGAATCCCTTACGAATTTTTTGTATTTTTGTCTTTCATTTTTGCTTATGTGCTTTGTCTATATGTCATTTTTTTTTCTTTGTTGACATAATTGTTTGTTTTTATAGCGATTAAGATTATAACACAATGTTAACTGCTGTACCCCTGTTTTTGACATTTTTACCAATTATATATAAATAAGAAGATGTGGTATGAGTACTAACGAGACCTCTCTCAATCCAAGTCACAATGTGTAAAAAGTAAATGATTATAGGTCAAAGTACGGCCTTCAACATGGAGCCTTGGCTCACACCGAACAGCAAGCTATAAAGGGCCCCAAAATGACTAGTGTAAAACAATTCAAACAGGAAAACCAACGGTCTAATCTATATGAAAAACGTGAAACGAGAAACACTTATGAACCACACCAACAAACGTCAACCACTGAACAACAGGCTCCTGTATGTCTGTTTATTTTGTTCACACATTGTTGTCAATATAATGGAATTGTATGCGACTGTCATACAAGTGAGAAGTTTAGCTAGCTATAAAACCAGGTTTAATCCACCATTTTCTACATAAGAAAATACCTGTACCAAGTCAGGAATATGACAGTTGTTTTCCATTCTTTTGATGTGTTTGAGCTTTTGATTTTTCTTTTTGATAAAGAACTTTTCGTTTTGAATTTTCCATGGAGTTCGGTATTTTTTTTCTACTTTTGGTCCTCTTTCGTAGAATCCTTGCTCGACACTGACAGTTATTACTGTGCTCCAAAATATTATCTCTAATATAACATGTCCATTACCTCAATCTTGATTTATTACATATTTTGACCTGCTTTTGATCTTGATACTGCTGAAAATGAGGCTTGCATTGCATACCCGGTGATATATGAATAGTTGGAGTTAATCAAAAGGGATGTCTATCTGTGCTTGAACATAGAAAAAAAAAAGGATTTCGTTAATAAATCTTTAGCTATGAGCCATGCGAGCTATTTACATCACTTCTCGTTCGTCTTCTTTATAACTTTGGAAAAAATAAACCTTCTCCTCTGTAACTATGACAAATTTCAACCAGTTCTAACTGAATAATACTTAGGGTATCTAGTATAAAGTTTGTGTTATTTCTTCTCATCGAAAACCATTATAGAAAAAGAAAATCTGACTATGGCAAAAATGTCCAGATCGTCTAGATCTACCTGCTTCACATTTCCACCAAAATTATCAGATGACATGCAAAAAGTAAAATCACAAAAATACTGAACTCCGAGGAAAATTCAATCGGAAAGTCCCTAATCACATGGCAAAATCAAATGACAAAACACATTAAACGAATGGACAACAACTGTCATATTCCTGACTTGGTACATGCATTTTCAAATGTAGAAAATGGTGGATTGAACCTGGTTTTATAGCGCTAAACCTCTCACTTGTACGACAGTCTTATCAAATTCCGTTATATTTACAACGATGCGTGAACAAAACAGACATTATAAATAAAATAGTCAAAAAATGGGTACAGCAGTCATCACTGTGTTACAATATCAAAACAAACAAT